AATGGCTTGCTGCAGAACGCTCCAAATATTTCCTTCTCCACTTTACGAAACCTGAGGTTAGTTTTAGCTCTGGTTTGAATGGCTGATTTACTTTTTTGAAAAATGCAATAATTTTACTGTAATGAAAATGAAAATGTAAATAAGATTTCCGAGTTGGAAGGTAGGGAACACTTATTTTTACAATTAACTATTTTGTAAAATTGTGTGCAATATGTAAAATCTAACTCAAAGAACTAGACCTTGGTTATTAGGTATATAAATCATTCAAAAACCATTTGAACAAAAACGTTATCGGAAATAAAATGTTACGGTTTCATCTTTCTTTTTTTAGGTAGTGACCTTTTAAGTAGTGATGTGTCAAAACCGAATCTCAAATCTCAAAACCATCAAAACTTAGGAAAAGTTTCGGTTTCGACATTCGATCACCAAGTTTCGAGATTCAAAAGTTTCGAAATTGAAGATTTTGGCAGTTTTATTTTTTAAACTGCTGACATTTTTTTGTGCCATTGTTATTGTTTTCAATGCTGTTTCTAAACAAGCTAGTAGAAACAGAGCAATCCCCATTAACAGTAGTGAAACAAGTAAATTTTATTCTGAACTTCAAAAGGTAACTTAAATACTAACTGGTACAATTCAGTTTCACATAAATATTTACTAAACACAAAGAAATATTGACCACTAAATGTTCTAATTAATCTAATATTCATGTTTATGTTGGTCTTAGTCAGTCACATTCACATATTTATGTTATGTCACGGTCAGGAGTCGGTCTCTTTCAGTTGATTGCATACTTAACATTTTATGATTATGTGTATTTTTTGTAACCTTGGCCTTTCTAACCAGCTAAGTAAAAAAGTTTCGCGTTTTGGTTTTGAGATTCGAGATTCGATTTTTTTAAGTTTCGGTTTCGGTTTTGAGATTCGAAATTTCTGGTTTTGACCATCACTACTTTTAAGATACACATGCACAATACACCAAGAAAAACTTAACTAAACATTAAGTTTTCTCAAGGCAAAAGCTAAGTTAATTGCCTCAAGATTTCAATTAACTAACTATTTACCTAATGTGACAACGTTTTTTTGATGTTACGTAGCATAAAATTAATGTATATAGGATATTCTGAAATTAATATACAGGCTACAGTATTGTGTTAATGTTAATCAAGAACAACAATTTGAGGATTACGTTAAGACGATGTATTGTAGACTTGCATCTGCCAACTGACTTACCAAACTTGCAATTATGAGCAAATTTATAGTGTAATCAAAGACAAGTAACGACTTAAAATGTCTTAAAAACCACATCATGACTTAATTGAGGTTACTTTTAAAGTAATCTGATGGGTGAAATAGGTCTGTCGTCACCACTTCTTATAAACGTTCAGAGACATATTTATTTGGCTTTGACTACCATTAAGAAATAATATACACCAAATTTATCTTTCAGAATCCGACAGTTGGACATAGCCGATCATGTTAGAGACATAAGTTCTGCTTTCGGACTTCGCCAACTTCTATTCATTGTGATGATACAACTGGTGCTTCTTGAGAAAATAGACTTTCTCATCAATGGAATAGCTTCAAAAGCATGTGGAAAAGAATGCCTGATGACATTTATTAGCTTTTGCGGATATTTCCTCACCCTCTGGTACTTTTCATATTGTCCCTTCAAGGCTTCCAGAGAGGTAAATAAACTATGTAGCAGTTAGGCAAATACAATCTCTGAAGTATAATAGAGGACTGTTTTTTTTTGGGGGGGGGGGAGTTTGTTTGGGCCCGCAGTTTGCATGTAACACGTGCTATGGTCTCGAGAGATATTTTCTCCCCCTTCCACCTTTCTTGTGGGGGAATCCCAAATCCCAAATCTTTTTGTTCCCCAGGATTCAGGAATCCCCTATTTGGGGGTGGGTGATGAAATTCAAAATCATGATAAAAAGTGTGACATCGTCACGTGTACTGAAGGTTATTTGAAAATGTACAGGCATGAAATAAAGTAATGGAATGTTAAGTTTCAGTTAAATTCACGTCCAACATTTCTTGCCATAAACTTTTGAATATTTGTCGTATCAAAGTCAGATTTGCGACATTAATTTTATTTTTTGAAGCTCTTTTAAATGATGTTCTACTTGATAGGGGTTGCCATTTAAAAATTGTAAGTTACCCCCAGAAACCCCTGTTGGAGGGTGGGGGCGAATTTCAAAATACCAGTAAAAAGTACTTTACATTACCCTAGTGACGTGTACCGAAGCTTGTTTGAATATATGCAGCCGTTCAAAAACTAACCAGGGGGGGGGAGTAATATGGGACACCCGGTATAATATAGAATATAGGATACAAGATTAAACTATGTGTTTTATCCTGTGGATATTTTTATATAAACCTAATGAATTTTTCAGCATCAAGAAGCTCTAGCTACAATAACGGATGTGAACACTGGAAATATGGATTTGTCTGCGATTCAAGAGGTATTGTGATTCTAATATTTAACAGAACATAGGCCTATTGAAATATTCAAGAATGAAAGTCAATTAGATGTTTTTTTATTAAAAATCTATTTCTACCCTCAAGTTATGGTTACACTCAGATAACGTACCTTAACACTAGTTGTGCAATCCACAGGAGTATTTCACAAAATAAACTTCTAATTTACTCAAAAGAAGAAATAACTAAGGTCAAAAAACATATTCTATTGCGCTGGGTCAAAAGTCTCATTATGATGAAAAAAATAATGACGTTACTTACTACGTACCTAGAGAAACTTTTCCAAACAGTTAAATTTAAATATTTTTTTTCGATTCCTTCATCTACAGAAAAAACATTTCTCCTTTCTAGTTACAGGGAAAAAATTAAGAGTTTCCTTAATTTACAAAAATCTGTTTGAAAATTGTAAGACTAAAATAAAAATGTAGTAATACCGTTTAGGGGTTTTTTTTGTATTGCATAAAACGTGATAGTAGTAAAATATTTGATGGATGAAATGAAATTACATTAGGCCTGACTGATTTTGAACAGATGACCATCTTGACTGAAGAACTTGCGTACCGGGAGACACAATTCTCCGCTGCTGGATGTTTCTATGTTGGTTTCAATATATTTTACTCGGTGAGTTTTTAATTTACTTTTATCTATTATTAGTTTTACAGTAAATAAACCAAGGGCAATTTCCAAAACAAAGCATGGGTTACTACATGTGGTGATTGATATTTGAAGATGTAATAATAGTTTTTTTTAAACAATTTGCTATACATAACTGAACAGAACAGGTAAGTTTTATTTTAAGTTTTAGAAATGGGACTGTACTTATTTATTAAACAGTTATTTATCGAGGGATTTCCTTTAGACTGGGAAATCATCAAATTCATTATGAAGAGGAAATGTAGAAAATCTAGGGTAGTCTACACAACCTTTGTGTTTAATTCAAATAAATAGATAAGATAGGTTGGTTTGTTGGGTTAGAGACTCTTAAATTACTGTACAACAATAAAAATTAAAAGCATTCCAAATATGCTAACGCTGGGTTTTCCTAGGCGGGGAAGGGGAGAGCGGAAGGAGGAACGCGGAGAGCGGAAAAGAGATTAACATGGAGTTCCGCTCCGCTTCTAGGAAAACAGTAACTTTAAATTGCCTAAGACAAGTGGAATCCGCTCTCCACTTCCACGCCTAGGAAAACCCGGCTTAAAAAACACATTCCTTCATTCTATCCCAACTTGTATTTTTTCCAATCGTCAAATGATAGTATTACTCTTAATTTTAAAAATAATAAAAATCTTGTTATTGTCGTAAAACAATTAGCATTATTGACAAAGTCATTCAGTGCAGTCAGGACAGTCATAGTCAACATGATATTAGCAATAAAATTGTTGAAATGTGGCATTTACACAGAATAATTGAGAATACTTAACAAGACTGGTAAATTTATTGATAGTAAAAAAATTTTTAAATAATTGTTTTGATGCATAAATAATTAAAAATCTTTTTAGTCCTACATTTCAATTCAACAAAACTAAATTATTCCTCAAGCATTTACAGAAAAGATTTGTTTAAATACTGAATTCTTTAAGAGAAAAAGAGTTGAACCTAAAAATCCGGTGTCACACATCTTTGAAACCTTAAAACCTCTCGCAACGTCGATGACTAGAATGTCTTGATAGACTGTGCAAAAAATAAAGATACTATTTACACTTATAACACTTTTGAGTTTTTTAATAACTTTTATTATGTTTCAGGTTATTGGTATTGTATTCTCATACTCCATGATAATTGGTCCGATGGCTTACAACAAACACAGACATTTGTGGACAAAACCCACTCATCGTCAATGATGCGGTATTATTTGTTGTAAAACTTTTTGCCACCAAACCAAACTGTAGAAGAGTTGTGGGAGTATTTGAGTGATCAAGTATTTTCAAACGAGTATTTCAGTACTCAAGCTTTTCGACCCTCAAAGTGTTTGCCTTTTATTCTGGAAGCATTTATATTCGTACAGACTGGTAGAATCAAAGCACTATCTTTGCTTTAGTTAGTAACTTTTACTGTCAACTGACCTTAAAAAATACTGAAAGCAATTTCTTAAAACTGAGAACAGAAGTTTCAGTTGCTCGGTTTAGATACTCAAGTAATCTAAACTGTTAGTTTTATTTTAAATTGTTTGGTAGGTGCTATAATGTAGGCTACCTATTTATTAATTCTGAGAACCTTTAGTTTAATATTTTGAAGCAATTATGCACGTCACTTCATTATAAAAAAACCTCAACTCGATAAAGCTTTAATCTCACGAGTATTTTTGTAAACTCTACTCGACTCATCAATTCACTACTCGCACACTCCTAGTATGCAGTGTAAGCTTAGAACTAAATAACTAAAAATAATCACATGATACCCTTAATAAAATTGAAAAATGCTGTAGTAGCCTAGTGTTGGAGAAAAACTTAAAATAAAATACCTTTTTCAGAGTTCATAAGAACCTAAATTAAATGTACTTATAATAAAAATACATCTTACCTCACACATAAATGCAGAAGACTTTTTGATATCGTTCATGTACTTTGGTTGGATTTTTAAAACCCTGTTAATAAGAGCTGAGACTTCCTTAAAATTGTCATTCACATATATCAGACTTATTTCCATCAGTTGAGGAAAAGAAATCACAAAATTGTCGTATAGGATTTTCCCCAAAGTGCTGGGTTTCATCCATGATTCCTAAAAAATAAAAAAAATTTAGAGGAATAAAATTAACTTAAGGTCACCCCATGGTCGAAAACTCAAGCAAAAATATGTAGCCTATTGTGCAAACATCTCTATTTTCACCCCATGCTGAAAATAAAACGTATGTTTGGAATTTCTTCAAGAAGACACTTGATAAAGTAAACAGCACGGGTGTTTATAAAATTAAATGTGACTTTTGTCCGAGTTTTTATATCGGACAAACTGCCTGTTCTTTCACTACAAGGTTCAAAGAACATCTACCAAGGAGAAACTCCAAATCTGCTTTTGCTAATCACCTCATTAATTCAAACCATAATTACAGCCTCGACCTATACAATAAGGCGTTTGAACTTGAGCGCAAATTGTTTTTGTCGAGAGGTACGCTAATGTGCACCGTCAGGGTAGTACATCACTGCGCCTCTCCGCTGCCGCATCGCGCATTTCCCCTTCGCCGGCAGCCACTCCCACCCTAGCCTACCTCTCCCCCTACTCAGGGCTCATCTCGTTCCTCACGACCTCGACGCACCTCGTGTTCGGACTACTTGGTCAAGTTTATTATTTGAAATACCGGTACCTAAATGTTGTTTCGTATGTGTTTTGTGTCGTAATGATGACCTCATTCACGGATGAGAAAACTGTAACTAAAACATTTTACATTCTTCCAACCTGAAGATGTGCTCGCTTAGCAGCACGAAACAGCTGTAGTTATTTTATTTATAACACAAGGACCAATTGACGCAACAGGTAAACTAAACATTTTTTATTTTGCATTATCTTGATCCAGATGTTAAACCATCATAAATTAGTCTGTATGAAAACTAAAAGCCCTGCAGCTGGTTTTAATGCATCAAGCAAAGCATACATATTTTCACAATTACGTATTCCAAGCATAATAATAAGTTTGAAGCAAAACTTGCAACACTGGACTAATTAGAATGGCTTTTCACTACCAAATTTTAACCCTTACATTTAACCCTTTTTAACGTATAATTCATGCTTTTGTCTGCATAGCCTAATTTATTTTTTGGTTTCCTTCTAAGCTGTCAACTGGTCTAAGCAAATTTCTACGACACCAAATTTTGCAATATCTTACCTCTGATTCTCTGGTCGAGGTTAATCTGGTTAGAACTTTGAACACCAATCTCTGCACGTTTCTGAACATTTTCAACACATCTTTGTCCTCAGGTAGTTGGTCTATCATGTAAAATGGAGGGGCGTTTTGTAAAAATGTATTGATGCCATCCAAAAACTGTTTGTTGTAGGCTACTTCTGACCAAAACCTGTAAACAATTGTAAATAAAAAATTGTATTGAAATTTATAAGTAAAATAAAAGATACATTTATTTAAGCATATGATATAAATTGTGTTTATGTTAAGCTTAGAAGCATTGTCAGCCTACCACAGACTTAAGAGTTAGTCCCATGACTGAAGCCGGATATTGTGGTGGCCGGTCCTTGATACAAATCATCTTATTTTGCACAGAAAATCAGTGTAATAGCGTCACAAGGTTTACTCTTAAACTAAACTCTAAATATTATAAAACTACTAAAATTCAAGAGAGCAGCATGTCTTTGATTTTCAACTTTAAAAATCTTGTATAGAATATGGAGCGTGTTCTACTAGTAGGTGTTTCACTGCTCTCCTAAATTTTGTGGTTACTACCTCTCGACCTAATTATTCCAATAGCTACTAAAGGAGACTTATTAAGCTCAATAGCAACAAGTAATTCCTTAATATTTCAGCTAAAACAATGCAATATTGTGGTTTTCTCTTTAAGTTGAGCTAATTTGATACCAAATTTCATGCAAATTGGTCAACATTTTCATACAGTTGTTACTTTCAGCGATAAAATATATATTGAGCTCTCTAGTTCCCTTGTAAACCTCTACACTAGTGAACAACCCATCTTAGGACACCAACCCAAACCTTGAGTCTATGGAATACGTCTACTTTGTATAGTCGCCATTTCATTGAAAAGTATTAAATTATTAGTCTGGCCACTGTTAAAAGAGTATGGATGTAAACTTGACAGGCTAGTCATCAAGAGGTCTACTACTGGAGCAGTTTCAGTCATTGCTGATGAAATCGCAAACGCTTTTGAAGACAGCGACTCAGTATCTCTTACACTGTGTGATCTGAGTCGAGCGTTCGACTGTGTTCCCCATGGAATCCTTGTTGATAAGCTTTTCGCTTTTGGTGTCAGAGGTAAAGCTCTCTCCATGCTTAGTAGCTACTTAAGTGACAGAAGACAAGTAGTTGACTTAAAGGGTGCAAAATCCGCAGAAAGGGAGGTTCTGCACGGAGTCCCTCAGGGCTCAGTTCTCGGGCCACTTCTCTTCCTGATTGCTATTAACGACTTGGGGTGGCATGGAAATCTTGTGCTGTTTGCTGACGATACTACCTTGTATACCAGAGGGAAAACACCGCTCCTTGCAGAGGAACTGGCGAAAAATTATCTGAAAGATGTGGAGCTGTGGTTCAGGGCAAACAAACTGCAACTAAATGAGACCAAGACAAACTGGTTGACTTGCACTCTGTCACGCACCCCAAACAACATCGGTGGGAGTGTTAAACTATTGGGTTTCTACCTTGACTCAACACTGGACTGGAGCGATCACGTCAAACATGTATGCACTAAGCTGGCTCGTGTCATATTTCTACTGAGGAGATTGAAGAAGTGTGTTACAGATTCCTACCTGGTTATGGTGTACTATGCTATGTTTCATTGTCATATCTCTTATGGCATACATCTCTGGGGACACGCTGCTGGGGCAGCCAGAGTTTTGAAGCTCCAGAAGAAAGCTGTGCGCATTATAACAAGCAGCCATCGCCATGAGCATAGCAAACCCATCTTCAAAAACCTGGGCATCTTGACCATCTATAGCCACTACATATGGGCATGCATGCAGGAAATCAAGAACAATGAACTGGGCCTGGTGGCCAGGGCTGACATTCACAACTACAATACAAGAGGCCGAAATCAACTAGATGTTCCTCGCACTCGCCTCAGTAGAAATAGGGACTCATTCCCTGGAAGCGCCATCCGTTTCTTCAACAAACTCCCAGCTGCCACTAAGACCCTCGCCAGCAGAAAGTTTAAAACCACCACAGGAAATTTTTTCCGTAAAAATCCCTACTTCTCAACAAAGGAATTCCTGGAAGGTAGTTTGGATGAGCTGAAGTAGAACATAGCGACCGCCATGAGTACTAAAATTATGTTTTTTTTTACATATTTTAAACTTGTGAGTCTTATACATATGTGCGGAAATAAATAAGTAGTTTTTTACGCAGACACAGCCTATTCCCATTATACGATGGGTCAACGGCCAAGAAGATGGTAATAAGGTAATCAATCAGTAGGTAGTCAGTTTTATTCATCCCTGGCCAAAAAAGCTTGAAAAAACTAACAAATGGTCCCAGGAGCGTTGTGGCACTTTATACTTTTATTATACTCCGTTCACAAAATTTAGACGGTTTTAGAGGAAAGGAAGTTCACCCACCACCTATTTTTAAAACCACCTAAATTTTGTAAATACAGTATAGTTCTGAGTTAACTTATACTACCCCTCCTGAGATTCCTGTGAGAAGTTTTACTGTACTTAAAGAATACGGACATGAAGTTATTGTCTGTCCTGCCTGACCCATCCACCTTGCAGGACCTCCTCAACAAACAAATTCTAGGCCACCCAGTGCTGCAAACATCTGTCTTTAAATTAAGGAAGATAAGTTCTCATCCCTTGTACCTTGGGGTTCATTTTGGGATGAGTTCATTACAGAAACTTATTTTGTCTCAAAGAACTGCAATGACTACAATAAAATAGAACATCCTTAACAATCCAACAACACATAGGTAATCCTTAGGTAGGTGTCCTTAACAATCTACAGTACTGTTTTGACAAATGACTTGTTTCAAAGCTTCATAGGCCTACTCCATTTATAAATCTAACCATTGTATAGGCCTACACACATGTATAAAATAACACAGCAGATGCAAGGTGCACAACCTTCTTCTCAACTGGTTTGGCATGTGGACTGGTTTTGATTTATATTATTAAAAATAATTGTAATTTAAGTGAATTGTCTCTTGAAATACAGGGTGCGGAAAAAAAAACGGTCCATTTTCTGCAGAGCACTGTTCAGCGACAGGTCGTCTGAGAGTGGTGGGAGTAGGCTCGTTGGAAAGCCTACACAATGCCATTTTTTGGAGTCATAGAGCAGTGGTCGCCTGAGGTACCTACGTGCTGTTGTTATGGAGTTGTTTTTAAAAAGTATTGAATTCATTCATTGCAGCTCAGCGAAGTTCCGTTGCGTATCACAATAATGCGGTGGGTTACTAACTTTAGAACAACGGCTTCTGTGATGAAAAGGAAGCTGAAAGGCCGTCCAAAGTCAGATCGGACGCCAGACAACAAACATTCGATAGAGTTCGTGCTACTGTGGAAAGCAGTCCTCGCAGGCCCGCTGAAAACTAGCGGCTTGCCGAACATGTCTGACTGCTCAGTTAATGGAATTTTGAGGTTAATTTTCATCCCTACAGATTAATTAGAATAATAATATGTTTAATTGTGTTATCCATACAGATAAACACGACGGAACCTCTCCATGTCGACCTAATAAATAAAAGCACGGAACTGCCACTGAGTTGCAATGACTGATTTACTACTTTTTTTAAGTGACTAGATAACACAACATAGATCATACAACCACTGCTCTATGATTACAAGAAATGGCATTGTACTCCCACCATCCTCAGACGGCCTGTCGCTGAACAGTGCGCTGGAGAAAATAGATGAGTTTTTTTGCCGCACCCTGTATATGCTCAGTGTTGGTGCAAAATAGAATACCGGGTATAGTTTTTATGTATGTTACCTGTGGTATTCTAACTGAAGAATACGATTCATATCAGTACTGAGAAATATCATTCTTTCGAGCCAATCTTCTTTTGATCCCATAGGAAACTCTCCATCGGCACTTTTAGAAGGTGGGGATGCGTAGAGAGTGTACATGTACCCTTTATTGCACCACTTCTCGTCCTACAAAGTTGGTTGAATGTTTTACTGTTTCACATTGTTACAAAAGATGAATGTTAATTTAAACAATATAACAAATGCTTTATTCCTTGAAAAAAATTATTTTTGTAGGTCTAAACATAATCGTTTTAGAACCAAACACTTTTTCTCTCTAAGTTAATTAGGCTAACTGAAACTGTTCATTCTGGTTACAAATTTAATAGGTAAGTTACATAATAACACATTAATTTTACATAATCTAATATATAAAATTCTCGTGTCACAGTGTTTGTCTGCAAACTCCTCCGAAACGACTTCACCGATCGTTATGAAATTTGGTGTGTAAATTCTGTAGGTATGCGAATCGGACGTAAACTATTTCCCGTTTCAAAATTCTTAAAAGGGCTCCGCCCCAGTGGCTCTGGAGTTTCCCATGTTAACCTTATGAGAAATGGAATTAATGAACCTTAACAGCTGTTTCAATTAAACAAGTTGGTTCTGTTCTATGATGTTCAATAGCATTAAAGTTACAAGGATTACCAACAGGGTGCAGCACTATTATTTCTTTTACATTTATGACAACAGCTAATTTGCAACCAAAAGGTGAGTGAGCGTAGCGAACGAACTTCAACCTGGAGGCGAGTTAGCGTAGCGAACGAGCTAACCTGAAGGCAAGTGAGCGCAGCGAACGAGCTCCAACCTAAAGGTGAGTGAGCGTAGCGAACGAGCTCCAACCCAAAGGTGAGTGAGCGTAGCGAACGAACTTCAACCTGGAGGCGAGTTAGCGTAGCGAACGAGCTAACCTGAAGGCAAGTGAGCGCAGCGAACGAGCTCCAACCTAAAGGTGAGTGAGCGTAGCGAACGAGCTCCAACCCAAAGGTGAGTGAGCGTAGCGAACGAACTTCAACCAGGACGTGATTGAGCGATGCGAACGAGATCATCTTGAAAATTAAACGTAACGGTACTTTCTTTCCATCGGTCTGTCTTAGGGGAAACCTATAACTTAGGCGATACGAAGTTCGCCGGGTCAGCTAGTAATCTATATAATTAATACGCTACATGAAACTTTGTCGGTTGAACTCCTCCGCCATTTCTTAATTTTATCCATTGACGTCTCATTGGAAAGAGCGTGTCGCGTAGATTTGCAAACTGGCCTTACATTTTTTTTAAAGTCCCTTGGGCTCTGCCCCAGTGGCTTTGAAAGTTCCCATGTTATCCTTATGAAGAACATAATTGTTTACATTTTGATCAGCTGTATAGTTTAATTGCTGTTGTTTATTTTTCAATTCAATGAAACGCATTGAGTACATTTATTTACTATTTGAGTTTGTGTAAACATAACCCCCAAGACGGATCGTGATAGTATGATTGTAACTTAAATTTGTGAATTTATCGTTGTTTTGTGTAGCTATAATTTGTTTATTTGTTGTTTTTTTTTTCTTTTAAATGCCTCCGACGCTACGGCAACGAAACATAGACAGGAGGCGTAATCGTGATAACGACCGTAGCTACAGAACAGTGACACGTAATAGTCTCAACTATTAGGTTAAAAATGCGCCCTAACCCAAAACAACATTTCGTTCTCAATTGGCCCTCTATCAATGACCTGTGTTGCCTGTACAACGAGGCATTTTGAGAAGGAAAAAACCGACCGGAATTCCTTAGGTTTATCAATAACGAAGATAAACATGGTCTGAGTTACACACCGGTAATCTTTGGGTTGACTCTTTTAAATTTATTGTAAATATGACTGTTATTCGTTTTGAAATAACTCCTGTAATACTTTGTAATTGCTCGAATTCGAGCAACATGTACACTAGTTTTAATTAATAACATTAATTTTTAGTTTACGTTAAGTTTTTGCAGTAGGCCTATGTTAAATTATAGCTTAAATCTAGCTGACAGTTTGCCATACCAAAGCTGAAATATACTGATCATATCCATTCTCCTGTGAAGTGAATTTGATCTTCAACTCTTCTAATGGTGGCAGTAGAGGATTCTGAAAATGGTCAAATATCAACATTAACTGTGCTGGGCTAAAATAACAAAGCAAAAAATATGTTTTAACCCTCCGAGTGTTATTTGTCGCTGCAGCGACTCACAAACACTGTTTACGGCGAAGGCTCTATGACTGACTGAATCGGATTGAACTGGATCGAGTTAGGTATCGTTCTTTTTGTTAGATTCTAAGCTTTCTCCAGAGGTCTGTCTCTAAGCGCTGTTTGTTCTCTGAGCCGATCGTAATTGTAGCAGACAGCTGACATGCATATTAGTGGTAAACAGGTAAACTCGGACCGATGACTGATGTGTTTTATTATGTTTATCATTGTTTTAGTGTTAAAAATCAAAAGTAGTGATATAAGTTACGTGGTGCATTATAAGAAGATTTAAGTGGTTTTGAAGTGCTGGTTGATGATCCTGAAGAAGTAGGTAGTGATATTGATGTAAATTATCAGCCAGATTCCTAGCTATGGTTAGGCTATGCATTCTTAGCTAAACGCTATGTACTGAAATCCGTTTTTCGCTCATAACTTATTTATTTGATAACTTACCTCGCTATATGATTATATATTTGTAATCCTCATTAAATTTAGAACAAAGTGGCTATTTTCAAATATTTATAGGCCTATAATTTATACAATTTTATTGAGCGCAAACTTTTTTTTTTTTAATTTTCCAAAATATTTTTTTACCTAAAAAATTTTTTTTAACAAATGTTCCTTATGTTTTATATATAATATTGAAGCCTATGATTTTCCAAACAAAATGGTATATAGAACAGTATAATTAACATTGTTTTTAAGCTTCTCAGATCCGTTTTAATAAAACCTTACAAATGAGCAAAAAAAAGGCAGACATTTACCCTCCGAAGGTCACGCTTCTAAAAATAGACGCACAACACACTTTGTGTAGTGTCACGCGTCTATTTTTAGACGCACGAACATCGTTTACGGCGAAGGCTCTATGACTGACTGAATCGGATTGAACTGGATCGAGTTAGGTATCGTTCTTTTCATTAGATTCTAAGCTTTCTAAAGGTCTGTCTCTAAGGGCTGTTTGTTCTCTGAGCCGATCGTAATTGTAGCAGACAGCTGACGTGCATATTAGTGGTAAACAGGTAAACTCGGACCGATGACTGATGTGTTTTATTATGTTTATCATTGTTTTAGTGTTAAAAATCAAAAGTAGTGATATAAGTTACGTGGTGCATTATAAGAATAAGAAGATTTAAGTGGTTTTGAAGTGCTGGTTGATGATCCTGAAGAAGTAGGTAGTGATATTGATGTAAATTATCAGCCAGATTCCTAGCTATGGTTAGGCTATTTAATTATGTCAGTCAAGAATGCTAGAAGAAGCTTGGCATGTTATTTATTATTTATTGTATTGACGTAGCCTATTGTCCTGTATATGAACTGAATGGCCAAATAAATCATTTGAATCATTTGAATCATTTGGCTATGCATTCTTAGCTAAACGCTATGTACTGAAATCCGTTTTTCGCTCATAACTTATTTATTTGATAACTTACCTCGCTATATGATTATATATTTGTAATCCTCATTAAATTTAGAACAAAGTGGCTATTTTCAAATATTTATAGGCCTATAATTTATACAATTTCATTGAGCGCAAACTTTTTTTTTTTGAAAATTTTTGAAATTATATTTTTTTTACCTAAAAATTTTTTTTTGAAAAAATGTTCCTTATGTTTTATATATAATATTGAAGCCCATGATTTTCCAAACAAAATGGTATATAGAACATTAGAATTAACATTGTTTTAAGCTTCTCAGATCCGTTTTAATAAAACCTTGCAAATGCGCCAAAAATAGGTGGACATTAAGGCCTAAACTATGGACCTTTGGAGGGTTAAGGCCAAAACAAGGGACACTCGGAGGGTTAATGTACCCTAATAATAGCCTATATTTTAAAAGTAGGCTAGTAAGGAACCATTAAAAACCTAACTTATTCCGAGTGACTGTTTTATAGTAACCTGTGCCTTCAAAAACTTAGCTTTCAATAGAAGGTTAGTAAGTTAGACAGTAAGACTACGGCTAAGTTAGACCTGTTTTACAAGTAGCCCGAGAAGGATGAAATCAACATCTGAAGTTTATGCTTAAGTTGGAATTGGCCTATCGGACTAAACAGTTTTGGAGGCTGTTAAACTTAATTGTTCTCTCCTAAGGTTTCTAGGTTAACCTAGGCCTACTAGGCCTGGCCTAATACCTTATAATCATGTTGAATTTGAACATAACCTAAACTTAAACAAATATCAAACAATAAACGTATGGGCAAAAAAACTACCGGTAAGTTACCCTACCATATTGGAATATTATGACAGGGGGTAACTTACAGTTTCTTAACTGGGCTACCTATGCTAATATTGATTGAAACTATCGATTCGATTATTAAACCTTCAAGCGATTTTTTCATTATCAGCATGATTGGTTAATTAGGTACCTAATTAGGTTAATAGCCTAGGCCTAGGCTATATTTACAATATATATTATTAGGCTAATCAATATTTTCAATTCGATAGCTTCAATCGATATTAGCATAGCCTAGTTAAGAAACTGTACCCTGATAGGGTAAACCTATGTCTAAATATGATAAAAACTTTAATGAGATATTACCGATGAAAAATCCATGTTCTTATCAACAGAATGCAGAACTCAAGTGTTCGCTAATCCCCTAACCTTGATCTTTTCCTTTATTAATGGAAATGAATTCATCAAACCATATTTTCTGAGTATTGATCAAATAGAATTCTTAATAATACATCCAAATTACAAGGGAAATAGGCCTAAAACACCGACCACATACGTAACATAACCTAAATTAAATTTGAGGCTAACAAAATATAAAAAAAAAAAAACAAAGATAAACAGAAACAGAAGAATCTCATCTTTGTTGTCTTCATTGCTAAGAGGCTAACATTACAACCATGCAGCTGCGATGTTTTCTGCTATTTTTCCAACCAAGTTTAGAGGGTAGAGTGATCAGCGTGCCTTCACCGCTTCACCACCGCGACCATGACCATTAAATATTAAAATACTTGACTTGATCCATTACTATTCCTTTACGGTGTGTATTACTCAAGCATATCTAACTTAATTTTGAATGCTCCAATTTTACTTTGGCAGTCTTGCGTCCACTAATAGAGAAAATTCTCCTTCCCTCTTTAAAAAAAATTGAGGTGGTTGCAAATAATATAGGGTATTTGACTTTTTTCGGTCCTTTATAGCCTTGAAAAACATTTAAAACCCTGAACTATGTATCTTAGTACTTTCTGATGGAATTATTTTAGTCACTCAAGTAAGATCATAAAGTAGCTAATAGGACAAAATAATTCAATTCTCCTGAGCCACTCTTTGCAAAAGAATTGAAGAAACACGTTTCACCATGTAATTTCAGTTCAAAATAAAACCTCTTGCAGGTAATGCAATGCTTGGGAAAGGGCTTTAGGCCAGAATATAGGTTTGATTTTGTTTTTGTATGCAGAGCAGGCTAGCAGGCTTACCTGTACATACAGTGGCCAGAGGGCGAGTCTTTCCCGATAAGTAACAATAGAAGACATAGGCCTACTAAATTGAAAATACTTCATTGTCAGTGCCATATTTTACTTCAAATAATATATTCCTCATTACTTTTCATAACTTTGAAGCAAATTAATTCAGTAGTGTTAGTGTGTATAGTTTGTACTATTCCGATCACAAAATTTAGGTGGTTTGTTTGGGAAAAGAATCCATCCCCTCCACCTCACGAGTTTGAGTGGATTACCCGTTTTATTTAAGTAGTTTTCAAAGTGATGTCTGATGTCTGACCGTGTCCGTGTGTCTGTCTGTATGTATGGATGTGTAGACAGAGTTACAGACCACACCTGCTGTGGCCCGATTTCGATTAAATTTGGTATGTAGGTACAAATCCATGGTCTCTAGAGGGGTTTATTTTTTTTAATTTTGATTTTTAAATGTGATTTTTTGATAAAAAAATCCATACAATAACAGAAAGTCGGATTTTCAAAAACAAAACAAAAAAACGATTTTGTACAAATTATTTTTGTATGGTCCTTAAACAAAATAGTGTAACCCCCATTGCTGTAAAAATCATGGTTAAATAGTTGTTGTAACTTTTCCCTATAAAATATGCTCTCAAGCCCAAGGCTTGCCCATGATAAAGGTTGTTGAGAAGCTAATGGGAGAAAGAATGTGTTAGATTGCTGATACTTATTTGTTGATATAGGTTGTCAGTTTGAACTTTTATTGTCATCTTATTTCCTATCATTAAAACCACAAAACTATTTTTTTCATGTTTACATAAATTTCCATCAGAACAAAATAAATATTATTTGGTGAGGCATAATTATGTAAAATTAGTATTATTTTTTAGAAATAATTTCTATGTTCCCCATCATTATGCTACTCTAGTAGAAATACAGAACTATTCAAACGCAGAGCGAATGTAATGGGTCACGCCTTATTTATTGATTTATTTTAACATTACTACCTACACTTTGTTGATCATGAAAATATTTTGTAACATTTCATACTGAATTTCTGTTACAACACTGCATAAACTTGTCAATAATTAATGACAAGTGTAAATTATTTGTCTGCAATATTAAATCATATAATTAAAATGAAGGCAAATTTTCAGTTACCTATAATGAAGAAAAAGTGTGAGTAAATTGGGGAAAATCATTCCCATTAAGTTCTAAAAAATACTTATGAGGTAAAACCGGACAAAGCCCAAGGGTAACAGCTATTATAAATAAAATTAGAACATGAAAATTATTTTATTGACTTATAACATGATAAAATCACAGAATATAAAGTGGGTGCTTGAAGGCCTATACTGAGATCGTTCCATTACTTCTTGGCATCAGCAAACCTCTTGGAAACATCTGCCCAGTTGATGATGTCAAATATTGCTTTGACATAGTCTGCTCGCACATTCTTGTATTGCAGGTAATAAGCATGTTCCCAAACGTCAATTCCAAACAGAGGAATCAAGCCTGTGCAAACAATCATGCAGATAAAAGAACCATGATAAAAGAACCATCTCTGATTTAGTCAACAATTTTTATAGTTATTGTAATAGCTCTTAAATAATATTTTGAAAAAAATCCATATGCCTAGACAAAGTTTTTTTTTTTTGTTCCAGAAAATAGAGTGCATAATCTATCTGTATTCTATATTCATAAGTAACTTTGAAGATGAACACATTTTTCCATACTCCGTTCTTAGCACTAGTGCTAAGAAGTTTTTGTTATACACTTATTTGTAAATAAAAACACTTTTTCCTACAGTTACCCGACAAAGTTGGCTTCCTTGTACTGTTTATAGTACAGAAAGCTGCTAATTGCTGCATATTTATACTTTGCCGTACGGTTTATACTTTGCCGTACGGTTTATACTTTGCCGCACATCAGGATTCCAACGAAATAACACAAAACAGCGTGGTTTTATTATGCACGTAATCCGTGTACGCTTGGAAATAGGTTGGCAACACTTAAAGATAAAAATACTATGAGCAGCTGATTGACTATTATAACTACGATTTAACCTTTCATTTCGTGTTTATAGTTTCGGTATTTCTGAACTTTCTGGACTTTTCTTTTAAACGTTTTTAAAACATTCCTACGATCTTAATAAACAAGAAAATACTTTTAAAGCATTTTTTTAGGCGCGGAAACCACTTCAAATTAGAAAAACATACGGAACTATATTCTCAAAACGCGGAGCACATTTCTTGCCGAGGAAAAATAGCGGAGTGATACGGACCGCGGGTACTACTTTCTCTAGGGCACCATTTGTGTCGCCAGCTGAACCTAAAAACGTGTTGTATAGTGTTTGAAAGACTAATTATTTATATGCTTTATAGGGACTGTAGGAAAAATATAATGTGTAACACGAGTGAAAAAGGCCTTTGCTGCACTCGAGATCATTTCAACAACAACACAACAAACATTGCTCTCGTGTGCAGCAAAGTGCCACTTTCACCACTAGTTACACAAATAACTATTTCATTCATTCATTCATTCCATACTCCCTTCATAAAAATGTAGGTGGTTTCAGGGGAAGAAATCTACCCCCTCCACTTGATCCTACCTTTACAACAATAGCTCGTTTAACAGCTAAGGTATGCCAAAAAGTCAATAAGCTGAAACATAATTGCTGTAAAAAGGGAGGACACTAACTAAGGAAGGAGGACTTTTAACAAGTAAATTGGGCTGTTGAGGGAAGCGGAATTAACCACCTATTTTCTACATCAGTGATTTCCCCCCCCCCCCTAGACTCAAAAGGGATAGGTAACGAAAGTGTTTGATTGCTGTGGGGGTGGTAAAACAGAAATCGCTGGAAAGATTAAGGAACATTCCGTTACGTGAATTTTTAAATAATAGAAGAACTGTTTGGCTGATTTCCTATATTTTTGGGAGATTTTCTTGTAAGCTTATACTAAAGTATGGATTCACAACAATTCTCTTTAACAAAACAGGTTAAGCTGTGACAGGTATGAGTTTTTAAAGTTTGTTAAAATAATTTACATACTATTAAGAAAAAGTTTTTAACACTGTCATTAACTATTTAAGTAGTACAGTAGACTCCCTTTAATCCAGACACCTTATAACTGGACATTGGTTTAGCCGGACTACACTCGGCGAAAATGACATCTCTTTAACCGGACAATTTTTATCAGCACATCGGTTTAACCCAACTAGATCAGCAGGAAGTGGGCGGTACTGAAATGACTGTTCTTGTGGGAAAGAATTGAGACCAGCAATCACGTGTCTAAATATATTTGCTCTTCTAAATTTAAGTCAAATACAGTATGCATTTAAAAGGTCCGTTTTATACTGAGTTTTCGGGACATCGGTTTAACCGGAAAACACATAATCTGGACTGCCCTCGGTCTCGAGGAGTCTGGATAGGTGGGAGTCTACTGTATCCATTTAATATCACCTTTGGTAACATTTTAAATATTAATATTGAATTTGTATATCTGTTAATTTACAAGTATGTTAAAGTGTTTTGTTTTTTGTAACCCTTCCAAAAAGTTTTTTACCCGGTTCACCCTTTTGCGAGAGGTCGTTCTGGCACTTTTGTAATAAGAATTCCAGTAGGGTCTAACCCAAAACCTTCTATAATCCGACAGAGTAGTTGTCACCTGTCAGATTCTAGAGAGCGTAATGGGAGCCGAAGCTAAGCTAGGTTTCAATATATGTTTACATCAGACAGACCTGTGGTTGCCTGTAGAGGATCTTGGTTGGCACACGCTGCAATCTCCAGCCGTCCACTCCCTGCGTTGTAGCCCAGCCAGCCCCAACCTGAACCTTGGATAGCTGTTGTCTGGGTGGACAGTTTTGTTTTAAAAGCATCAAAAGAGCCAAACGATGCTTCAATCGCCTTGTGTAGTTCATCTGCAAAGCAAACAAATTTGTTAGATATGAAATTACATTAAGATACAAGGTAGTCATTCATTTATGAACAGGCGCCAAATTCTAATTCAGATAGAACATAAATTAAAAAGCCACTTATGAAGTGTGCTACAGTCTAAAATTCTATCTTATTCCCAAGTTTATGTTACTATGATATTGGATGCGACATGAAATATGATTAAGCTATCCTTTATCAGGGGCTTGGTTAATACAATTATTTATATTCTGTACGGTTTAAATATTTAAATTCTGTACGGTATTTAAATATTTAAATTCTGTACAAACAACAGAAATCAGTAACTGACGTCAGACAGCACACTGCCGGTGACTTTATTCAGGTAACTATGATTTCCTTAAAAAACATGACTGCAGCTTTTAAATGAGAATGGTGTGACTACTACAAGTCTAGTCAATACGATTATATCCACAAAAATCTAAGGCTTTACTGGTATACAAGAGTCACACTAATCTGAACCAACTGTGATAAAACGCTTTTATATTAAAATTAAAACCTTTAGCCATGTGTTCTGTAATGCTCACCAAGGTGTCCCAGCGGACCAAGAAAACAAGAAAACCAGCATTAAATTTCAGGAGCGGGAAAAGTCTAGAAATAGGCTATATGTGAATTTTGTATGGGACCGATTAATTTGGAATAATTTTAGTGTTCTGTTGGTTCTCTGTAAAGTCGTCGTGTATTAGGAAGAACACAATAGCGGGAGATGATTGCGGATGATGCCGCAATACCAGTAGATTAACACCTAGATATTTACTCAATAATGGAATACTATCATGGTGTTTGTGATTGCGGAAGCAATACACAGCTATTTAGTCATAAAAATTCATTTGTTTAGTTTTCCATGATGTTGTAGAAATAGCAGAGTTGAGCTGCAGCGATTATATAAAATGATTTAGACAGTTAGTTAACATGAAACTAATTTAATTGAGAATAAGGTAGAATACAAAATGTAACAACTGAAAGTAAACAGGTCCAACAAATTAGGCAGGCAAGATGAATATGTAAGTTAGACATTACAACATTCCATGCATTTTTACTGCAATTATGGCCTATCCAAACAGGCTGCCTAATCAGATCCAAAATTAGCAGGATTCTGGTAAGGAGAAAATAAATTTTCCAGTCTAAATGCTGAAAATATAACTTCTAAGCCTTAAAATGACAATAGGGAACGTCCCTTACCACTAGGTTTCCCGCCATTTGGGGACAGATTCTGCCAGAAAATTGAATGATTGATGTGACCACCTCCATTAAACCTGAGGGCAGGCTGCAGTTGGATGATTTTAGTGGTGTCATCTGAAAATTTTAATCACAGAATTAAAAGATGCAAAAATAACAAATCAAAATTAAGATATGGTATAATTTTCTTGCACGAGTAATAGATCCTAATAAAACTAACAATGCAAATGTCTTTTACCAGATAGACCGTAGAGAACAGGCTGGGCGGAACTTTGATATCCGACTCCAATGTATTAAGAGACGAGGTTAATACGGCAACTGTTATAGAATCTAACTTATTTCATCAATAAATAATTTTACAGTTAAAAGTGTTTACTAAACTTAGCTAAGGACTAAACTTAGTTTAGATAAGGAAACTTAGCTTAACCCAACATCGAACTTTTAGATGATTGTAACAATTGATGATTACGATGAATTTGGATACGGTATCAAAGTTTGGCAAAAGGCCAAAAAAGATCTGGTTCTGTTTTTCACTCCTTTGTTGTTGAATTTGGTATATCATTAAGTTATAAGCATATCTAGACATGGTCAGTCAAAAATTAGCCGTGTAATTTGGAGGCAGGATCAGGCCTGAAGCCATTTTGTATTGCATCCTTAATTATTTAGAGCTTCTAAGACCTTGATTGCCCTTAAACTTACTGGATATGCTACAAACTTTCTTCTAAAGGCTGCTATTATAGAATCTAGGCTTAATCTGAAATAACCTGAACTCCTAGTAAGTTAATAAGAAAAACAGATACAAAACATAGGCTAATTCAATTATGTATTACTTTTGGATATAGCATCCTGCAATTGTTCCTCTGCTGCGTTTAGATTAGCTACATAGGTATTGTGGTGCTTGGTGTGATGAATCTCCATGATCTCTTTGGAGATTATCGGATGCAGTGCATCATAGGCATAAGGCAACTGGGGTAGTGTGTGCTTGCATCTTGCTGGCATTGCCCTGAAAACATAAACAATTTGTTCGGTACTTATATATAATAAAAAACAATTCAAAAACAAGATTGGCCGTTGCTGGATATGGTGAATTAATAAATTAAGCAAAATTCTAGATCAAGAACCAACTTAGTTAAAGTAGTAACTGAGTATTTTAGTTAAGTTAGATTTGTTTAATTACTCTTGACGCCATTCCTGTATCTATGTATTGTACTTTAATGAATAAAGTTATAAGAAATGAAATGAAACTTAATTTATTTCAGTGACTATAGTGGACTCCCTATTATCCGGACTCCTCGGGACCAAGGCCAGTCCTGATAACGGTTTTTCCAGTTAAGCCGACGTCCCCAAAATCTCATTAAAACAGACCGTTTAAATGCATACTCTATACAGTATTTGACTTAAAATTAGGAGAGCATTGTATTTAGACACGTAATCACTGGTCTCAAATCTTTCCCACGAGAACAGTCGATTCAGCACCGCCCACTTCCAGCCAATCTAGTCCGGTTAAACTGATGTGCTGATAAAAATTATCCGGATAAAGAGATGTCACTTCTACCGAGTGTAGTCCGGTCAAACCGATGTCCGGTTAAAAGGTGTCCGGATAAGAGGGAGTCTACTGTACATTAGGCCTAATGCTCCTGGATACATAATCATTACACTAGCTAGACCAATTTTGTGAACATCCAGGTAATATATTATGTTAACTGTAACTGTGATCAGCTGACAGTCTACTACACAATTGACATTAACTTAGTTATGTTTTATTGCCAATCTCATTGCGAATTTGCAACAAACTAACTTATAAAGCCATGTTTACACAATGCCACTGCCAGTTGGTGGACAGGCTATCGTACCTGCCTCAGATAACTTGAAAATACACTAGAGCCAGGTAACCTACCTGCCTAAGTTACTGGCCTCGTTAAACTCGGCTTTTGAAAAACATGTTCTTGGCCCAGTGAACAAAAATTTGTTTTGTCAGTAGAAGCATTGAAATTGGTGAATATTTAAATAACTTCTTGATCAGCATTGTACGTTTTATTAAATTTACGGAAAGTAAATAAAAGAAACGTCTTATAAGACTTAAAACATATATTTACGCTTATACTGTTACTCACAAGACGGTAAATATACAAAAAAGATGGTAAGTGGTGATCGATTTCGATTGGACACTCCAATCATCATCAGACCCAATAAGCGAATGACGACTATATTTAAGAATATTTAAGAAATAATGGGGTAGACTTCCGTATCTGTTAACACAAACAACCGAATGAAAATATTGATCGATAGGGCCTTTACTGATTATCGATATATCGTTTGGTTAGTTAAGTTAGGTAAGGTTAACCTAACATAACTAACCAAATGATATATTGAATGAAACAATTGAATAATCAATATTTTCATTCGGTTGTTTGTGCCAACAGATAGCCTACGGATGTCTACCCAAATAATGTATGATAGTCAGTCCACCAGCTAGCTGCCATCTTAATTGTAAAAGATGGTAAGCCTTTTTAAGGCCCATTTACATGTTGCCAGTGGCTGGCATTTAGTTGAGATATGAATAGAAGGTCATTGGCAAGATGTGACTGGAATGCCAGCTAACTGGTACTTTACCATTTACACGTTGAAAACTACTAGAATAGGATAGGGTAGTGCTTTATAATGTTTGTGTGGATGTTTGTGGTCTACATGCTATAGCCTAACTTGGTTATTAGTTAACAAATTATGGGAGAAACTCCACAGATAATAATTAGGCCTATAATTAAAAAGCAGTGCGTTCAAAATCTGTTGTTTTGTGTTATCAGTTAAGTTTGGCACATCCATGTCTTCGACTACCTACGGCTTTCATCGATGCACTCCTCACATCACAATATTGGTCAACTAAATCTTGGTTGAACATATTTGGTAATTTCTTCATTCCAACGTTTTGTCATTTTAATTTGCTCTTTAACTTACCGTACTCTTAATGAATCACAAACTAACCTGGTTCAGCGTTACAGCAACTGGAGGGTAACTTGCCTGTAAAACAAAACTATGTAGGCTACCGTATTTGTTTGGCTAACTGGCTCTACTCCAGTGACTCGTTGTAGGTGACTTGTTTACACAGTGCTAGTCGCTGTTGCTGTCATCCAGTGACTGGCAACCTCAACTAGAATGCCAACTGGTATCGTATAAATCAGTCTTTAGGGTAGTATAGGGGATGCAGATTAGGCCTATACATTTAGAAGACTACCGGTGTATGCGGATGGCACTGTCTTGCTTTCTTCAAACTCACCCATCAACAACGTAGAAGTCAATGCCTACATTGGTTTGAGCCTAGCTGCGGAGTACTGCGACAATCATGACCTTGTTTTCAACGCCTCAAAAACCAAGCTAGTTTCATTTAGCAACAGGAAAAGTTTCGTCTGCTGTATTCCCGACATTGACTCTGTTAGCTCTGTAAGACATCTAGGTGTCATCATTGACGAACATCTCGCTTGGGACGAACACATTGAAGCACTCTGCCATAAGCTAAGCACCGTAATTTTTGCACTGAGAAGAACAATGGCTGTGAGCAAAGAAGAGGCGGCACTAACAGCATACTATGCACTTCTTGAGAGTATTCTCTGTTATGGCATTGTGGTGTGGGGTGGATCGTCAGCACAGAACCTTAACAGAGTTCTAATCATGCAAAAGAGGGCTGTTCGAACCCTGACTGGCATTGAGACAACAGATAGTTGCAGACCAGAGTTTAGGAGGTTAAAAATCCTGACCGTAGTCAACCTCTTCATACTACGGACTCTTACCATTGTCGACTCTTCCCGGACCTGTCGTCATCAGGAGGTGCACTCATACAACACAAGACGAAGAAATGATTACAACCTTCCTGCTCACAACACAAGGCTCTATGAAGAGAAACCCTCATACATGCGTGCCAAGTTTTTTAACGTCCTTCCCGTCCACTTGAAGTCTCTTCAACCCAGAAAACTGAAGAAAGAACTAAAGTGCTGGCTGTTACATAGACCATTTTATAGTCTGAATGAGTATTTGTCTTGGCAAGAACTTGAATAAATCATCACTGCAAGAACTCTGATCAGCTATTTTTTATTCTTAAAAAATAACAATTTGTATTGACTTTTATATATAACAACTGCACAATTCTGTATTGACGCCCTTTAAATCTTAACCCTCCGAGTGTCACGCGTCATAAAAATGACGCACAACACACTTTGTGTAGGGTCACGCGTCACTTTTATGACGCACAAACATCGTTTACGGCGAAGGCTCTATGACTGACTGAATCGGATTGAACTGGATCGAGTTAGGTATCGTTCTTTCCGTAATATTCTAAGCTTTCTCCAGAGGTCTGTCTCTAAGCGCTATTCATTTTAGTTCCGAAAATATTGTAGCAGACAGCTGACGTGCGTGTATTTGTAAACAGCTAGGTTCCCCCGGACCGATGACTGATGTGTTTTATTACGTTTATCATTGTTTTAGTGTTAAAAATCAAAAGTAGTGATATACGTGGTGCATTATAAGAAGATTTAAGTGGTTTTGAAGTGCTGGTTGATGATCCTGAAGAAGTAGGTAGTGATATTGATGTAAATTATCAGCCAGATTCCTAGCTATGGTTAGGCTATGCATTCTTAGCTAAACGCTATGTACTGAAATCCGTTTTTCGCTCATAACTTATTTATTTGATAACTTACCTCGCTATATGATTATATATTTGTAATCCTCATTAAATTTAGAACAAAGTGGCTATTTCCAAATATTTATAGGCCTATAATTTATACAATTTCATTGAGCGCGAACTTTTTTTTTTTTTTGAAAATTTTCGAAATTATATTTTTTTTTTACCTAAAAATTTTTTTTTTGAAAAAATGTTCCTTATGTTTTATATATAATATTGAAGCCCATGATTTTCCAAACAAAATGGTATATAGAACATTAGAATTGACATTGTTTTAAGCTTCTCAGATCCGTTTTAATAAAACCTTGCAAAGGGGCCAAAAATAGGTGGACATTAAGGCCTAAACTATGGACACTCGGAGGGTTAAAGATTGTAAATAAAGTATTCTTGTATCTTGTATCTTAGTAGGCATCTTTGCAAAGCTGGTTAGTTTGCCTAACCTTATCATCATACATATAGCCTAGATGTAAATAATACAATATGTAGAATAACAAATAGAAAAATTATTAGTTACAACTTTGGCCGTGCTTTATTCTAGGAACTTACCTTGACATTGAAACAACTGATTTCTTCAATGCAAACATCGTTCCTCTTTCCTTACTTCGGCAATAAGTGGTGGAATTAGTTAACTTAAAACGACAAGTTTACATAAACCTAAAAGTTTCTAGCTAAAATCTTGTGTTTCAGGCAAGTGATTAAGCTAACAACCGGTCTATCCGTCAGCTTGAGTCGTCTTTATATTTATGCCATAAATTTTATGGTCTTTTCAGTGTTGCCACCACGTTGTTGCGATTTTACCCTAAAGGCGGGCTAAAATTACCCTAAATTACCCTAAATCTACTTTGGGTTACCCTAAAAATTACCCTAAATGTTAATATTTGCGTTTAATGCTATAAAACAATGTTAAAATCATATAAATCTTACATAAGATGGTTAATTATACTAAATGAAGTTCCAATATCAATCAATTTACGTAAAATTATACTCGCTTCTAAAAAACCACCCGAAAGAAGAACAAAATGTTGATATTGGTTAGCTATATCAACTATCGTATAACGAAAAATATCGAATCAAGAACTATCGAATTTTTTACTGTATCAACCCATTACTACTGTTTTTGGACAATCATATCTTTAAAATAGCACGGTACCACCAAGCCTTTAATCTATACATAGTAGTAATTTCTTGACACAATTTGTAAAATAATCCAGTTTAATTCAATTCAATCACATAATTAAATATCAAACCCAGTAATGAATAATATTTCGTATTTTATTAAGCCTATAACGTGTTATAGAATCGAATACATTCTAAAACAGATAATTCCCAACTATTGATAAGATCGATTATAGGATAACTTATTATGAAAAATTCATAGCAATCGATTTAAACCGGTTGAATCGAATATGATGGTTTGGCCATAGTATGTAATGAAAGTTTTTTGCCAAATTTTGAAGTTTTTTTAATTTTTTTAGTAAAATTTCCATTGTTACGCTAACTTTAAGTTTTACCCTAAAATTACCCTAAATCTACCATTACCCTAAACTTTACCCTAAGACCAGTAAATTACCCTAGAAAAGGGTAATTACCCTAAAAGTGGCAACACTGGTCTTTTCCTTCAGTATCGTTCGTATGGGCCAAGAAAAACCAGCAGCGCCCAGCGGAGCAGACAAGGAGACAAGCGCAAGCAGAAAATAAGTCATCAAAACAAAATGTAATTTTTTTACTGATCAGATCAAAGATCAGCTGACGCAAATGTCAAAGTCGAAAGTTACGACATGACAGTAAGTTGTATGACTTCAGCCAAAGAATATTTAATAAATAAGATTTAATCATATAAATTGATACTAAGGAAGCACCAAAAACCAAAACCCAATGCATTAGGATATTAAGCGTACTAGGCCTACCATTAACATTAATTAAATGAACAAGTAGAAGATCTATGATCTATCATTCTATTGTAAAATAGTTTGTTTTGTGTCTTTTACCATGAACCAAGTACGTTTCCATGAACTGCTATAAGTACATTTATTTAATCTATGCTTTACATTGGTAATATTTGAGCATTATTGTTATTAAAAAAGAACAAACAAGCAATCTTTATTTACATTTTTTGACATGGAAAAATAGGTAGTAAAACTTTTTCTATTTAGATTAATAAAAAGCTAGTACTCCAGCCCCATCTTCGAACTCTCTAAGGGTCCTCCACTTCTTTCTTGTCCTCCTTAGACACATACTGCTGGCCCTTAACGTTGCACATATGGTTTTCACCCTTATCCAGTTCATCACTAAACTGTAAGGTTTCTTCCATTTTTCTGTGAGGCGTTCTGCCATTGCTCTGAGCAAGGTCTGAAATTCTTTGCCTAGCATTCCGTCCACAGACTTGACTAGTGGGGTGAAAGAAGCATTTCTTGTTTCTGTTATTGTTAAATATTTTTTCTTCTTCTCTCTTTCTGCATTCTCCAGAACTTTTTCGTATGGGAGGTTCAAGTACGATGGAGCATCAGTGTCAACGACACGTACATCGAATAATGCTTCCGTCTGAACCTCCCATACACCCCTACAAGCCAAGTCTGCTTTTAGTGCTGCAGCATCCAATGACCCTTGCTCATTTTATTGTTATTAAAATGGTTTTTTCACGTATTTTAAATAGATTTTCTGATTTGGGCTTTTACAGTGCTGTATAATTTTTGATAACACCAGAGTATATAATATTATACAAAGAAGGATTTTCATTTCATTTCAAGATATGATCATGGAAATATTTTGAATTAAGAAAAGGCTGTTGAGGCTGTTTGCTATTTTTTCAGATGTTCACCATGTTCAGTTTGAGTGCGACCACAAATCGTTATGTCAATGACATCAAGGTGAGCAAATGTATCTGTTACATTTTTTCTTTTCTTATTATGTGATCCATAAGGCTCTTTGGAAAGCAACAACCGTTTGTTGTACCAAAAGGGATTCTGGTAAACTTGTACAGTTCCTCGGCAGCCTGAAAAGCAGTATATATAGTCGGTCTTTTTCAGGAATAGGAACTTGATTATAAGCACATCTCAAATACATCGTACTAAAAGACTTTAACGAGCAACTTTACAGATTATTTCATTAATGGAAGGCACTGGGTAGGTATCAAATTAATTGTGAGCGGTTTATTGTTCTAGAATAATCTATGACCATCCTTCTCTTGTGTTTTTGTGAAGAACTTTCTTGTTACAGTCAGTCTTACTTGTCATTGTTTCATAGCCATCTTATGGTTTGTCGAGCTGTGGGGCCATGGGCCATGGCCTCAGCCTGCACAAAAATCCTAGTCAGTCCTACAGAAGAGCTCTTCGAATAATGGACTCCACCAACAATGAAGAACACTGCAAGCCCATATTCAAGAAATTGGGCATATTCACAATCTTCAACCACTATAATTTCCTCAGTCTCCTTCACATTCATCAAAATTTACCAACGCTACCAATACGAGCAGACCAGCATAGTTATAATACCAGAAGGAAAAAACACCACATTGACATGCCATTCTATAGACTTACTAAAAATAAAGACTGCTACCCCGTCCTGGCTATGAAATTTTTCAACTTACTACCGGCTGCCGTCAAAGAACTAGAACCATAGACTAACTAAGGGAGTATGTTTTATCTATGCTAGAACCAAGGACATTTGAAAATAAAACTGGGACTTGGCTTAAGAACAACCCCTTCTACACACAATGAGTATCTAGAAGCCGACTTTTCTTCAATAAAGTGATCTGCCAACAAAATTAAATCAAGATCCAAGAATTTAATTTCATTTAATTTGTCAAGTTTTTTTCTATAAATATTTTTATTTAGTAGTCTAATAGTATTGACGCCATCTATCCAGTTATACTGGTCAACGATGAAGAGAAAAGTATGAGGTAACTAACAAGACAAGGGTAAGGGTTTGGACCGTTCCCTTTCAAAGCGTAAAAATACTGACGTAAAAGTACTGGTGTAAAAACACACAAAATAATATAAAAATATCAGAATTTCAAATAAAATAACAGTTGTGCAGCTGCATGGTTGCTTGCGAGTGGATAAACACTATAGGCATTCAAAAAAATCAATTTTAGATTTTGTATTCGATTCGATTCGGATTCGGAATATTCGGATCGGGATCGGACGGAATTGACGGAATTAATCGACAGGCAACGAGGCAACAGACGACACGACACGAAACGAACCATTGGTCTGTTGGTTGCCGTGTTGAAATTTGAATGTGTGTTTAATAATTTTGTTTGTTTCATTTAATATAGCAATAAACTCATAATGTAAACGATTTGCCACGTAATAATTCCCAACTTGGGAAAAACAGATTCCTATGTGCTTTGGCTTTGGTCCACTGAATCTGTGAACTATCACTTTTCATAAAATGTAAGTAGGCCCTAGCCTAAGCCTAGTCTGTAGGCCTAGATATGAAGTCAATGCTATTACACTTACACTAATTATTATGATTATATTATTTTCATGTGTTGGTGACTTTAGCAGGATAATATATAACCTAAATGGGGGTTTAACTCGTTTAAAATACTTGAATACTTACTTGAATACTTGATTCCTTCATCTTTGACCAACAAAAGTTGGATAGATTGCGTCAAAAAAAAAGAGTAAACTTATAAAACACTATAAACATAACTACATAACACTATAAAAGGTTGCAACACTTTACTTTAGGTCCTACACTCATTCGAATGAAAATATTGATTATTTGATTTTTTCATTTGATATATCATTTGGTTAGTTAGGTAAGGTTAACCTAACTACTTAACCAAACGATATATCGAATGAAACAATCGAATACCGGTAATCGATATTTTACTTCAAATGAATGTAGGACCTAAAGTAAAGTGCAGCCGAAAAAAACTATAGCTTAGGCCTAAATAAGTTATTAGGCCAACTCATTTTTGGAAGTTTGATAACTTACAGAAAATAAAGTTTTGGTTTTTCTTACCGGCTAGCCTTCTTACCTTCTCAGTGCCTCGGAAAACTAAATATTCTTTTTTTAAAATATAGGAGATAACTCCCTGATTCTGAAAATAATATTTTTTCCCCGCATAACTTCGGAAACCCCCGGAAAAAAAGGGGAAAAGAAAAAAAAGTACCCTATTTGGCTATTATTTACGACGCCCAACTCAACTTAAACGTTATACAAGATGTTTTAAACTGTTCCTAGACACACCTTCTAGATTACTAAGTTAGACACCACGCCTGAAAAACTTACTATAAACTTTACTAACTTAGACAACTCAGCGAGATTACTAGACACCATTAACTTATCTAGATTACTAGTCACAACACCAAGATTACTAGACACCTTGCCTACGTTACTAGACACCCACTTCACCTCACCTAGATTAACCCTCCAAGTGTCCATAGTTTAGGCCTTAATGTCCACCTATTTTTGGCGCATTTGCAAGGTTTTATTAAAACGGACCTGAGAAGCTTAAAACAATGTTAATTCTAATGTTCTATATACCATTTTGTTTGGAAAATCATGGGCTTCAATATCATACATAAAACATACCGTAAGGAATATTTGTTTCAAAAAATTTATTTTGGTAACAAAAAAAAATTATTTTGGAAAAATTGAAAAAAAAAAATAAGTTTGCGCTCAATGAAATTGTATAAATTATAGGCCTATAAATATTTGAAAATAGCCACTTTGTTCTAAATTTTATGAGGATTACAAATATATAATAATATAAGGAAGTAGATTTGCAAATAAATAAGTTATGGGCAAAAAACAGATTTCAGTACATAGCGTTTAGCTAAGAATGCATAGCCTAACCATAGCTAGGAATCTGGCTGATAATTTACATCAATATCACTACCTACTTCTTCAGGATCATCAACCAGCACTTCAAAACCACTTAAATCTTCTTATAATGCACCACGTATATCACTACTTTTGATTTTTAACACTAAAACAATGATAAACATAATAAAACACATCAGTCATCGGTCCGAGGGTAACCTAGCTGTTTACAAATACACGCACGTCAGCTGTCTGCTACAATTACGATCGGCTCAGAGAACATACAGCGCTGAGACAGACCTCTGGAGAAAGCTTAGAATATTACGGAAAGAACGATACCTAACTCGATCCAGTTCAATCCGATTCAGTCAGTCATAGAGCCTTCGCCGTAAACGATGTCTGCGTGTCGAAAAATCAACAAGTAACACTACACAAAGTGTGCTGCTTGTCGAATTTTCGTCAAGTAACACTGGGAGGGTTACTAGACACCACGCCCAGATTACGGTAGGTTAGGTTAGGCTACACGAGGTGTCTAGTAATCTAGGTGTGTGTCTATTAAAGGAACTGCCCTGTCACCATGTTTAAGCTAGGTTTTCAAGTGTCTAGTAATATGGGCGTGGTGCAGGGTTGCCAACCGTCCCGATTTAGCCGGGACAGTCCCGTAATTTTAAGAAGCGTCCCGCGTTTTATTGTCCCGTTTTTTAAACCAAACGTGAAATTGTCACTATTTTTGTAAACAGAGCTAGCAGTATAAAATGGGAATGGGAGAGACGCAGAGACGGCAGACGGCACTTACAGCAGACTGGTGCCGCGCTGACGTGGTTCACACTCAGTCGGCCATTCTACCCTTCCCCCTCCCCTCCCCCACTACTTTTCTGCCACTGTCGCTGAAGTCGTCTACTGCGCATCCTAGCTCGGCAGCTCGCCATTCGTTCAGTAGCTTAGATCACACCCGACGCGACAGATTATTTCGTTCGTTCGTAGTTCATAAAGTATTTCGCAGTGTGACTGTGTGACAGTGTGACCGGTAATTATGACTATGTTTATGAGTCGCAATTATCAGTTTTTGTTTTGATACTTGTTAGACTGGTTTGTTTATTCATGGAACTAAATGTTACGAATTGAATAGCAGTTTAAAATTGAACTTAATAACATGGACAAGTACAATTCAGATTCGGACGGCTTAAGTGAACCTGGCACTTCAACTTATAAGTCCCCCCCAAAAAAAACAAAACGATTGTGTAAGTTCCGCGATGACTGGAAAAAATCGTACCAGTAGTTAACAAAAGGAGATTCGGAGTTTTATGCAAGATGCAAACTGTGCAATAAGGATTTTTCGATTGGTCACGGAGGTTTGAGTGACGTAAAACAACACGATAAAGGGTCCGAGCACAAAAGGAGGTCAACGGCTGGAATCACATCACAGGTAATGAGTAATTTTTTTACCAAACAAAATACTGTTGAGGCGGATAACGTAACATTGGCTGAAGTAGCCTCAACATTTCATTGCGTTAAACACAACTCTTCATACAATGCCCAGGACTGTGCAAATAAACTGTTGCCGCAAATACTTCCTGACTCTAATATTGCCAAAAAGGTTTGCTGTGGCCGAACAAAATCAGAAGCTATCGTCAAAGAAGTACTCGGGCATCTTGCAGAAAAATTGGTTGTTGATGCTTTAAAATCAACAGATAATGGAACTGTTCATTTTAGTGTTATGACAGACACTTCAAACAAGGGAAATCGAAAAATGTATCCAATATGTGTTCAATACTTCTCATTTGATAGAGGATGCCAAACCAAACTGTTGGATTTTGTTGAGTGTTCCTTTGAGACATCAGATGCCATAAGTAACAATATCCTGCAAACTTTGGAGAAATTTGATCTCAACATTGAAAATGTTACTGCGTTCAGTGCAGATAACACCAATGCCAACTTCGGCATTCACAGATCAGCGTACACATTGCTTAAAGAGAAAAAGCCCAACCTTTTAAAAGCTGGCTGTTTAGCTCACGTACTCAACAATACGTTTAAGTTTGCATTGAACAAACTAGCATTTGACGTTGAAGGTGTTGTTTTAAAGATATTCAGCCATTTTCAATCATCTTCTTTAAGGAGAGAAGACTTGAAAGAATTTATCGAGTACACTGAGTTGGAATGGAGAGAGTTGGTGAAACATGTTCCCACTCGATGGTTAAGTCTAGGACCTGCCATCGAGAGGATTCTCAAGTTTTTCCCTGCTCTCATGTTGTACTTCATTTCCAAAGAAAATGACTATTCAAACGCCCTCAGAGACTTGCTCTCACTGACTGGGTTTGAGACCGAAGACAGCATTAATGACCTTGAATACTCAAAGACGTCATTGTATTTGTCATTTAGTGCAAACGTATGTTCTCTCTTTGAGAAAAGCAACATGATACTGCAAAGATCTGACACAACCTCAACTGAACTGTTCCAGATTATGAACACACTATTAACACAGCTGAACACCAGGATTGAAGAAAATTTCTTTGGATCATTTATCAGAAAGGCCAAGAACCATGCTAATGAAGAAGTTTTGCAACAAGCTATGTCTGACTTCAAAATGTTCTACGAAAATGCACGTTCGTATTTGGAAAGTCATTTTGATTTTTCTGATCAAAATCCTTTCAAAAGTATTGCTTGTTTGTCCTTGAACAGAGAAATGTCTTTTGATGAACTAATGGAAGCAGTCACAGCATTGGGAATAAATAACAATGTAGCTGAAGACAATTTATTTGATGAGTACAGTCTAATAAAGCCTTCTTTGCCTGTAGTTGTAAAATCAGAGGATTTCACAGTTGAGCAAAAATGGGCAAGTCTCTTTAGCTGTGTAAAAAATGAAAATCAGCTACCAGAACTTCGAAAGGTTGTTTCATGTGCCCTTAGCATTCCTCCATCCAACGCCTACGTTGAAAGGGTATTTTCCCAAATGTCTTTGAAGTGGACCAAAACTAGAAATCAGTGTTCTGTTAAATTAATAAGAGCTGAACTCATGATTTCATTAAATATGGACATGACTTGCTCCGAGTTCATTTCAAAATACAAGAATGACAAGAAGCTACTTTCTGCTGCTCGGAATGAGAAAAAATATGAGTGGAAAAATAAATAAGTGAACCAACAAAACATGTATTGAAATCACTGACTGTGTTTGTGAATAATGTTCAGTATGCATTAAATGAAATGTACTGTATAATAAATATTACATTCGATTTAGCTATGAAATTTGTTTTTTATTCTACCCTTTATCAATACTATTAATATACAGTATTATTAATTGCTAATAAGAAAAAAATTCAAATCTTAAGCTTTTAAATGATATTGTTAAATATTTGTATTAATGTTTTTTATCTGAAGTTGTCTCATTAAAGATGTGTCAGAAATGCTTAATTATTAATTTAAAATCATTACATTTTTTGACACCTCACGAGAATTAATAAATCGTATTTTATTGATCAAGCTTTATTAGGAAAACTAGGGTATTTTTTATGAAAAAACGAAACATATGGCATCACAAAATTAATGCCTAGATTGCCTTAAAAACCCACTAAAGTGCACGAAATGTTCAAAAATTTTCCGGGGGAGGACCCCCGGACCCGGGGGGTATGGAATACATGGAGGACCCCCCGGTAGTGCGTGCCGGTCCCGTTTTTTAATCTGGAAAAGTTGGCAACCCTGGCGTGGTGTCTAGTAATCTCAGTGAGGTGTCCAGTAAAGGAAACTGCCCTGTCACGATGTTTGAGCGAGTTTTTCAGGCGAGGTGTCTACAGGAAGTCTACTCTGTGTTGGACCTATAATAATTAAAGCAGTTTTACAAAAACTATTTCAGTGTCGTTGGATAGCCCAATGTCAAAAAATAGGTTGCATTGATGGTGAAAAACAATAATCAGCTAATCTCAGGGCATTACACCTAATTACTTTTGATAAGTTACATTTTTTTTTGTAGTAGGTAAACATGAATTCCAAGAAAAATAAACGGTATCAGCATTCTGACACATACTTTCTCCCATAAGTTTGTTAACAACCTTTATCATGTGTAAGCGGTGAGAGTAAATATACGGAAATGGGATTCGTACAATTTTGTTCAGAATTTAAAGACTATAACATACTAAATTTTTACCAAAATCGTTCGGGCCATTTTTGTGAAAATCCGATTTTTCTGTTATTTTATGGGGGTTTTATGTGAAAATTACATAATTTACATTAACTTTTGAACCGTTGCATAAATTCCTAGGTACTTCAGAAAACGCAAAGCTATTCAACCTAAAACCCCTATCATATTGATTAGGCCTACTAATAACATTTTATGAATACTGCTTTAAGGTCTGCCTACTGATCGCAATCTAAATTTTAAATCTGAAAAAATATGTTAAATATAATATTAGGTCAAGTGATATTAGGGGTAAGTGTACACTCAAAATCACATAGCCTAGTACAACTTTGACCACAGATTAAAAAACGCCCATAAATGCTATAAAAATCAAATTCGCTGAGCTTATTCTTTGGAATATTTTGTATATGTGTTTTTTTTGTTAAAAATATGAATTTTGTATTTTTGAGAATTTTTTTGTAAAATGATGTTTGGGATGTATATACTTCCCCCTTGATCTGGGGTAAGTGTACAACCCCCCCCCCCTTATTGTAGCTTTCCACTGCATAATACTTGATGTTCAGGCAAGTGGATTGTAGAGGGGAAAATACAGGATTGTAGCTCCCTTTTGATTTTTTATTTATCAAAATAATCTCAAACGGTTCAGGAGTTATAGGACTTTTTTGTGAACCTCTGTAAGGGAAAACGGAAACCCCAGCTTTATTAGAAATTCTAAAGAAAATAAAAAAACCTTATGATTCCACTATTTTATTGAATTAACAATTACTAAGCCTCAAAGAGAAAATGAGCTTTATTTTGGTTTTTTAATAATTAAAATATCTTAAACTATACAGTGTTTAAGAGTTTTTTGTAAACCTACGCTCCGTGGAAGTAACTTAAAACCTCAATATTTTAAATTGTATTTGACCTAGGCCCTGAATGTTCCTACTATGTTACTATACCCCCGCTGCAGCAAACCTGCAGACTAAGCGAATTTCCATTTGCCTGATTGGATTTAAACACTAAAGTGTCTCCTTAAAAATATAACATTTATTCCCTAGTTAAATAGCTTTAGTTTAGCGAGTACTTAGGTTTGCTGCAACAGGGAGGGTAAAAAGTGTTTTTTTGTAAAATGTTAATAGTTTCGTATGAAATGAATGCATTTTCCAAATTTCATCAAAATATGTTCAACATAAACAATATAATCAATATAAACAAGCAAACAACAGTTTATTTAACAGTTTATTATTTATTCTCCATAAGAATAACATGGCAATTTTAAATTTACAGTTTTTTTGAATTTTATCCGTAACCATTAGGCGCATAATAACGCTTCAACATTCTAAATTATTTGTTTTTTTTTTAGCTCTACAAAATGGTTTGGAAAGAAATTGCTAAATTAAAAATTTTAGGGTAAAAAATGGGAAAAACCAACTTTTACCCCCATAAAGCCCCCCATAGACCCCTGTTCCCAAAGTCCGATCATACTGGTTCACAAACTTGTTCGAATAAATGTAGGTTTACACGTTCGTACCAAATTTCATCAAAATCGGATGAATTTTGCTCGAGTTATCGCGCTAACGGACACATATATAAATATATATATATATGAATTTGAATGGATGGTGTTTTTGGTCTCTAGGGACCACAAAATGAAAAAGTAAATCGGTCCCGGGTCCAGGTCTTACCATGAGTATTACGGTAATGGTAATAGCTTATTCCCTATAGGGGAAATTCGCTAAAAACAAAATTTAAGTGAAAGTTATTTTTTTCATTCAAGCATGAGATAACAACGTTTTCTTTATTCTTAGATAATTTACCAGTTATTGAGGGTACACTTGCCCCATGGGAAAAATACTCTTGCCCCTAACGTGTTTTCACACCCCCCCCCCCCTAACTCCCCAAAATTGACTTTTAGGGCTGTAACATTGTTGCATAATTTTGAATTCCCCCTCAAAAAATAAGTAAGATCACCAAATTTCAGTTAGTTATCCATGTATTTCAACCTATTAGTAATTTTTTTACATTTTCGAGCGGCGCTTGTGTTTTGAGTAGAAATGTAAGAGGTTCTTAAATATGTCTATACTCATAGAAATCATAGCTAGAGAATTTTTTTGTGATTATAATTTAAAAGAGCATAGTTTGAAATACCTTTGCCCAAGTTTCCATATTTTTTTGTTAATAAACAAAATTTATAATTAGCTGGAAGTCCACTTGCCCCAGGCGTAGGCTACACTTAACCCACTTGACCTTTTCTAATGTTAACATTTGAGAAAGGTTAAACTGATTGTGATCCATCCAAAATCAAACTGTGATAAATAAGCTATGTTATCATATACCATATCTATAAAGATTTAAAATTATATTGCATACATTGTTCGTCCTACTGCTGTCGTCAGGTTCCCTCACTGCTGTATAAAGCTCACTATGACGTAAACCGAACTGTTTTAAAATGTTGAAACAAGTATTTTTACCACTGTTATCACTTAGATGTGATAAGCTAATGTAAATCAAGTTATGTCTTACATTGCTACAAATTCAAACGTGATGATATAACCTCCTCCCTTGATAAGAAATGATGTCATTCATTCATTTCAGTCCACTCTCGGACATATAAATTTTAGAACCAAGGGAATGTTCTTCACACCCTAGCAAGCTGCAAGATGAAACCCTTGTATTTTGCCATTATTTATGCAATTGATCTAGGAATCATAGCATTAATTATTGCTAGTAACTTTTTATCAAAGAAACCTGGAAAGCCAATCATACCAGTATGGTGAAAGTGACATAGAAACCTTTTTTTAAAATTTCAATCTTCCGCTTGTTTGTGTAGGTCTACTATGGACTCTCTTTCAAGTACGTTGTTTCTTAATTTTGCAGAGTCCGATATTGTGTTTAAAAGTTGGAGATGTCCTCTTCAGTCAATACTAAAAAAGGATGTAAAACAAAAAAGGATGTAAATGTTAAAATAAAAAATAAACTCCAAAATAAACCATCCCTGTTGAAAGAAGATAAGAAGTGCAAGGAAAATGAGGTTAAAGAAAACCACGTGATAAGGGTCAACATTGAAGATAGCGGAAGTGGAACTGATCTTTCTTCTCCTGGCTTATGTTCTGCTCTTCAACTGGCCAATGAAATACAGGCTGCGTCTGCAGGAACTAGCGGAGTTCAGGAACTGAAAATATTTCAACAAAAACAGCTGGACAAAGCAATCAAGCAGAAAGTAAGTTGAAAATTCAATGTATTATCTATGTTTTTATTTTACTAGGCCTATTATTAAACTGATATCTTGAAGGTTTAGTAGTGTATTTTATTCTTCATTCTAACACAGTACTTGTACCATTGATCGGATTTGTGTTCTAATACGGATTCATCTGTGTTAAATTCAAGTTTACAGTACTTTCTTCTTTTTATTGGCAGATCTAAAAAATAAACAGCTAAATTGTGATCTGCTACCAAATTGTCATCTTATATTTTGAATTTATATATTGAATAGAAGTTTGAATGAATTTTAAATCGACATTGTGTACAAATTATCTAATATAGTTTACTTAAGTAGAAGAAGTATGGTTGTTAGCTAAATAAAACATGTGGTACAATCTAATGTACTTCGACTGGATCCATTACATTCTTTGGATTAGACCATCATTGTAGATTTTTTTTTAATTTGTCCTATATGCTATGTTTGTGTGTTAATTTAAACAGACTTAGTAACAAACTGTGGTCCTACTGCTTATTTTTTATCCTAAATTTTTCAAAAATCTTCTAGATCAACTCAATATATTTTTTTTTAAGTGGTTCTTTAACACGTGATTAAATATATCTTTCTTTTTATTTATTTCCACAAAATGAATTACGGTATATATTTTATTTTTGAGGTTCCACGGTTAATATGATTATATAGATTTATAGATTTAATAATCAATCTTTGTGTCATATACTAAAATACTTTATTATTTCTGTTTCAGGCAGTGAAGAAAACAAATGTCCCTTTTACACAGCATATTTTCAAAAATCTAGTTGATCTTCACATAAGTGACAATGATGTAGCAGCTAACAAGACCCCCCACAAGAATGTCAACTTCTCAACCAACAAAGATCCAGTGTTTCATCTGGAAGACTTTTACAAACCAGACTTTTCTACTAAAGTTAGTGTTAAAGTTCCTAATCAAAAGTTTCAAATAGATAAAATAGATTACTATAACGGGTTTGAGCTGTACGAACGGCTCGAGTCTGTAAAAAAGTTGCAAGGTAATAGTTGAGTTTCTTTTAGTTTTAAAGTAAAGTGATGCAGTATTGATAGAAAGTAGGTTTTTTATGTAAAAGACTATTTATAAGGAATTTTAATAAAGATATTTTGAATTTAACGGTTGGTTTGTTCACATAGTTTTGAAATCCTGGGTTCCCTTCTTATAAGAAATAGTTAGGTACTTTTTAAAATAATTTTGCATTTGTTAAATGACTGTTTTCAAGAAGGCCAGGTACACGAAAGTGAACCCGCAACGAGATTTCCGCGTCGGGGCTACACAACAGGGACCATATTGTATTAAATTGAGGTATTGACACGAGCAGGATTTGCGACTCTGATGGACTCGGTTTTGGTAGTAGGCGGGGGCGCATCAAGTTGTACGTTGATGTCAAACCCGCGTTGAGATTCCCGCCCAGCCATTCCATTCGTAGTGGAATTACCTAAGGCACACTGAGAGTGTTTTTCCAGTTGAAACTTCATTCATTGGTCTCTAAAATATCAAAATATCATACCCAATCATAAACCTGGCTGACAGATGGTGTTTATTCTTTATTGTAAAGTGATTTGTAAAAAACCAGCCAATCTTCACACAACAATAAGGACAAGAATTACTGTTATTAGTCGCACCTTTTTTTGAGAACTACGATTAGGGAATAAAGCATGAAAAGAATATCTCTGGTTCTAATCATTTTGTATTTTAAAAAGCAATGTCAAACCAACAAATTCAAAAACATGCGGTAATTAATAATAAAATATTTTTTTGTTCTTTTAGGCTTAGTAAGTACCCTCCTTGTAAAACAACTTCCACTAAATGAAAGCCTCTAGTGAAAAATTGATGGTTGAAAGTTTTAAATTACTAAGAAAAGTATTAATGATCAGTGCATCTTAGCACATTGTATACATACACATTTATTTAAAATTTAGATAATGTCTAACAAATGAACATTTCAACATTTGAATGAAAACTACACACGTTTGAATCGTACTAAAAGTCTCAAGGTGTAAAAATCATAAATAAGTAGTCAAATAATAGAATATTACCTATAACAAACTTAACAATTACACATAGAAGATTTCATTATTTGTTATCTTTTATCTTCAGTTCTTGAATCGCTTGATTTGAGATTTGAGTGTTTGTACGAGCTGGATTCATCATCTATGAATCCTAAATTCACACCACCCGAATCTATTATGTTTCCTATGCTTTTACTACTATGATTGGAACAATTTATGTTGTTTGCATCAGCTGTGTATTTCACTGGCTGATTACAATTTTTAACTGCGCTGTTTTGGTTTAAGTGATTTAATACTTGTTGCTTTTTATTGTTTTTTGCTTCTTCCGCTTCCTTCTTCTTTTCCAAAGCTGCTGGGCTCAACTTCTTTTTGTAGCTCCCACCAAACGGGTGCTGCAAAAGACAAGATATGTAGCTATTAAATTTGTTCAAACAAAGTTCATTTGCGTGTAAACTTGAAACTAAACATTCTCAACCAAATTACTTTTAACGGAAATAACTAAATACCAAAGAGGTCTAAGGAAATAAAAGCACTGAAATGCATCTTAGATAAAGGAAGAGGGATTGCAGTGACCGAATTGAAGAGAGGTGGTTGGGGGTGGACACTACTATAGATATTGTTGCCTTATGCTCATCACTTAAAATGCTGAAAAGCACCTTGTTAACTGGAAAATATTAATGTTCCAAAACCACCTTATTCTACTTTATTTCTGTTGAGGGTGGTCAAACTGTTCATTCAAAATTAAATTGAACTTAGGTTCATGTTGTTCTTTGGTGAGACCAACAACTTATTCAGATAAAAATATATTTTTCCTACAGTTACCTAACAATGTACATGTTCTCTCACTGATTTGAGAAAGCAAAGTGGCCAATTCGCTCATCAGTGAGACAATGTTAACATTGTCTCACTCTAATTACTTTGTCTCACTCCAGATTTGCAACGTGAAGGCACGAAATAGTGAGCGCGTAACATGCAGACAAGGTTGTATGCGCGCGAAATACGTTGGCAGCACTGGCTGTAAATCAGCTGGTCAGCTGTTGTATTGTTGTATTTGTTACTTCACATTAAATGTCATATTAAAAGTTCACTTCTGTGTAAAAATATGTTACGTTTCTTTACCAATTTATTTATTTTATGGTAACTGTAGGAAAAATATAATGTGCAACTCGAGTGCAAAGTGCAATTGCCTCACTCGAGAAACCATTCCTCGAGTAAGTATTTCTCTCGAGTGAGTCAATTGCTCCCTTTGCTCACTAGTTGCACAAATAACTATTGTCATAGGCCTACATGCGTTGCTTGCGGGTCTAAAGTAGTTCTTTTTCACCCTAGGGAGTAATTAAGTCACCTGTTATTAACTCAGTTGTAAATTTTGATTGTAAGCAATCTACTTTTATCAAAAGTATGTAACGATTGTGTTAATTGGTTGTAGCTAATAACAAAAGGTCAAACTAATGAGAAAAATACAACATTAAGCTTATAGTTGAATTGTTGTCATTAGTTTGACGAATCAATAGTATAATACACTAACACAATCGTAATAGACAAAATGATGAATATCAAAATACAGCTGCTTGTTTGCATTTGCAAAATTGAAAACAAGTTGAAGACGTTTTGAGAACGTTCGTTTTCTTTACATGAAAAATATTTTTGTTTGTAAGTTAATTTGCTTACATTTGATGCAATATGACAAAAATATAGTTCATAAAAAGTCTTTTCAATTTCAACCCTAGCTCATTTTCAGTAAAACTTGAGCTCGGGTCGAAAGCTAGTGATGAAATATACTATTCAACATTCCTTACTCTTACAAATGGATTTGATTATTGGCCAAGCTTAGAACCAGGTTTTTAAAACAAATTAAGGTTTATAATAAATATGAACGAAGCTAAGAATCATCCAACTAGTTCATACCTCAGGAATATCTTTTTCTGAGTGTTTCCGGTTGACTATGTAGAGGTGGTTGAAGGCGTAGTAGAGGCAGCCAGTAACAAGGGTGACTGCGGAAAATATCTGATAAGTGGCTCGTGTACCCACAGCTTTCATGAGATAACCTCCCACCAAGCTTCCAGACCCCTTGCCTGTGAAACAATAACTTGTATTGCAAAGAGAATACCTAATGTTACCAATGATTGCCTCTATGGACAAACGGAACTTTGAATACATTACAAATGCATTCATGAGGAAGAATCCCCATTACTCGACAAATGAGTTTAGCTCCTGGACGATAACCTACAACCAAGAGAGATGAATCCTGAATACCTGTCATATCGCTAGCTTACCTGAGAAAGTTGGGAGTTCAAAAGCTAATAGATACTTTATGGAAGATTACTATAAATATCACTAATCAGTGTAAAAATGTCCCAGTTGCAAGTCAGAGTTTTGACGTTTTCCCCATTTTCCAAAACTCAGCACTCCTCAAACTCGAAACTCTTCCGTTCCATATTTTGCCGAGTTGTGGACTCTACTGTATTTTAAAATCGCGGTGAATCTTAAGTTGATCACTCACCAACTCCAAAGTAGATGCCTCCAAGCAGGCCCTGAATGCTGGAGTCGGTGGTGTTGGTTGACAGTTTAGCAGCGTAAGTGACAGCCGCGGTGATGGCCAATGACGAGGTGATGGATTCCATAGCTTCAAATATCAAACACATCCAAGGGTTGTAGATGAGGGAGTAGCCTGGAATCAGAGTTGATTGTTATTCTTTAGGTACATTTACACTCATCCTGGTCCTAATACTGTGCTGTGAGTGTCAGTGCTATATTTAATCAATTGGTGTAGTGTTTTGTTTGATAATGTGGCTTAGTGATTTACATGTTAGGGGAATTAGGTGGTCTGGTGGTAGATTATGCCTTAATCCCCGAGGTCCCATGTTCAAATCCTGCCAATAACTAATGGATTTTTGGCCATATGATAATACCGCAACCCCTAAGTCCAAGCCTGAGGTAATTTGTAAAACGGTTCCGGACTAGAACTAAGCGTCTTAGGATGTAAAGATTAGACATAAAAAAATATAGCAACTAAATTACGTAACTCACAGTATTATTATTTAGGCTATGCAAAATGCTCTTTGAGAGATGCACCTCTTACTATGCATGGTTAGTCATTTAAAACATGATAGGCAAGAGTTATAATTTCAAAACAACTACGAGCTAAGATATCTTGCCATGTATCAGCTACTGTTCAACAAAGCATAAACTAAACACACAAAAATTAATAACAATATGAACAACAAATACAATTCAGTATTAAATTTGAATTTGAAATTTTACCTAGCAGTCGAATGGCGTAGAATATGAAGCCGATGAAGAGCACATTGGCGTGGCCGATGCGGTCGATGATTGGTCCTGACATAACCAGTAGTGGCAGACCTGCAATGCCTCCAATGGTGATGGTGATCCCCATCAGACTGCGAGAGGCTCCGAGATCTTGTAGTAGCCAGAAGAGGAAACTCTCTATGTAACCCCATGCCGTACCTGCCAACGTTGTAAAACAAATTTGTAAGACTGTACGTGAAAAGTAAAGGTAGTAAAGGTGTATATTTTTGTTTGAGGGGTTATATATATTGAACAGCTGGAAAGCTGAGTGAAAATATGGTGCTTGCCTAGTAGTCAGAAGTTCTCACTCAGGTTCGATCATGAGGAAAGAAAGAGGCTTTTACATTTTTTGAAGCTTGGAAAAAATTGGAACCAATGTATTATTTCAGTTTCATTCTCGAACGAAAAGGAATTACTGTAAATTCTTTAGAGCTTTTACAATTAAATGTGCATCAGAGTTATGAGACCTGCTCAGCAAAATGTTGTTAAGTTTTTACTAACAAAACTTGGAACATCTTAAAAACGCTTCAAGGAACACCAATATGCAGAGAAAAACGATTCACATCAAAAGTCTCTTTACCAAGGATGAAGCATGTGATGAACAGTGCTACAATTTCAACCTTCCTCAGTACTGTTAAAACATCAGCGACCACGTTTTGAGCCGGCGACTTGAACTGCAGATTGATGGTGAGCATCAAAAACCCGCTGAGTATCTTAAGTCCAGCGTATAGGTAGAAGGCAGGTCTGAAACATAATCATTAAACTTCAATGAGACCTCCACAACAGATACGACTTTTCTAAGAAGATGAACTTAAAACTTAAGAAGGTTTTTATAAACAAATGTTGCTATATCTGAATGGTTCTAGGCCTGGATGACATTTGTTATTAGGCTTACAACTAATGATGCAACATAAAAGTTAAAAATTAGATGATAACAAAATCAGGGTTTGGACTGTTCACTTATGACTTCAAAAATGAACCTGGCTCTGTTGTTCACTGCCATGAGCGCAAGAAGTTTCTGCACTTGCCATCACAACCAATTTTATCCCTTTAAACCTTTTTTTGTGTTTTGTTTCTTCAGCTATCCCAAAAGAAAGAGATGGATACACACCTGAAGTCTGTGTATCCCTTGTTCTCACTTGCGTAGTCTATCAACATTCCAGACAGAGGAGAGCTGATCATTCCTCCGATGGAAGCGTAAATCCTCTGGAGTCCATAGTCTCCCTTGTGTTCCCTCAGAATTGCGATCACAGCTCCTGTAGGATAAGTACGGTAAAATAGACGCCTAAGTAAACATTCCACCTGGCTTGGGATCTATGTTTTAAAATAGGGAGTGTTTGAGTAAAAAAAGCTTATTTTTGGGGAAATTGTATAAGCTTTTGAGCTATACTGTGTTTTAAACATCTATATTTGTTACTTACCACACTTTGCTACCATGCTCAACATTTTTATTGACAATAACGACAAAAAACATACAAACATTTTAGGTACATGTAGAGGTGCTTAGTCCGAATCAACAAAATGTTTCTTTCTATAAAATAAAGCTAAAACATTTAAGATAAAGTGAAGAGAAAGTTACCTTCAAACATAGCGAAAGCAGTGCCACTGATCATTCCGATGAACACTCTTACAGACAGGTAGGTCCAGAATGTAAGAGCTATGTCATACTCAACCACAGTATCTTTGTTAGTGCAGAGTTTGGAACGAGGCACAGTCGCGATGCATGAAGCTTTGCAGTCCTCCAGATGTAGGACTGAGTCTGTCTCTAAACTGTTCTCTGGATTCAGCAGTGGCACTAGCACCGACAGTTCATCTGTTGAGTTCTACAATCAGATTAATGGTCTAATAGTTATCGGTCTTGCAGGTTTAAACGAGCAATAACACATGATATGATTAAAACTCAATTTTTGTCTTACTGCAGCAAAAACAGGCGTTTTAAATGCATGCGTTGCGGTTGTAAAGTATCATTTTTACTCTCTTGGAAGTAAAAAGCATTTTTAACCCTAGTGAGTAAAAATCAGCTGTTGTCAAGTGAGTTGTAAATTTTGATTGTAAACTATCGCATGTATCAAAAGTAGGCCTATGTCTTGATTGTTTAATCAATTGTATCTTATTGTAAATAGTATGACATATTGATAGAAATGTACACTAACGCAATCGTAATAGACGAAACAAGTAAATCACTTACCAAACAGCAGTGTTTTCATTACCAAATTAATTAAATTGAAAACAAGTTAGATGTAACTTTGAGAGGTTATCTTAAGATTAACACTATTTTAGTTTTGTAACATAGTTTGTTTAAATAATGGTGCAATATGACAAAAAATATAGTTCATCACACAGGCAAAAAGTCTTTTCAAACCTTCCTTGCTCATTTTCCGACCTTGGCTTGGCCTCGATTGTAAAGTGTGAGCTCAAGTCGAAAAGAGTCAATCTAGGCCCTGGTGATGAAATATGCTATATTTTGTAAAGTTTTTAAATTTTAGTTGCTTTTGAAGAATTTTGTTATGACTAAGTGTATTTTATATTTTATCTTATTGTCAGGACCACGTAAGTTTGCAGTTGGTGGCAGCCAATCACAAGACAAGGCTTGTGCGACGTTGCCACAAGGCCCGTTGACAACACTAATTAAAATATACTAAGCAATATATTAAAATCAGCTGGTATTAACAGATTTGGCAACACCGCACAGTTCTCATTGGTTCATTCAAAACCATATGGTAAATAGGCTCCTCCCTCAACTGCAAACTTACGTGGTCCCGACAATAAGTGTGTTTACCCAATTATAGTATTATAGTCCTTCTTTGTTTGTATATGTTTTGCTCAAAGAACTACAGGTAATTTATTTTAGGTAGCTATGTATATTCAAATATGTACAACTCACACACTATGTGATGACTGACAGAGACTTAAGAGAAAACAGGAGTTTCATTTTGAATAAATAAAATGTCAAGGCAAGGCAAATCAAAATTAAATAGTTTTCATTCCCAGAATTATAACATGAGCATTAAAAAAACAAAGGGACGATGTGTTAATTAGTCATACTTGTGCTGTTTATTTGTTTAACAAATCAAATTTATTTATTTTCACTGTTATTATTTGAGAGGAATTCAACACAAGTTCTTGTTATACTCTGTAATTGTTATACTGATTTTTATTATTTGACTACTCTGAATTTTCTTTTCTTTTAAGGATTTCCAAATGTTTAAGGTAAAACTTATCAGATTTGTAACATAAGAGTTTAGTTGTTGAAAAAAAAAACATCTAGTGTTGTCTGGAAAAGAAGTATTTATACCAATTAAAAGAGAAAAAGTGGAAAACTTACATCGAGTCCACACTGAACATCCATGAAACCATTGACTTTGAGTGGATCCTGAGGCAACATTGATGTCTCAAAGTCTGTTATGTAAAGTACTTTCATGTTGGCTGGATTGGAGCTTGGTGCAGATTTCACTTTCAAGTCGATCATTCCTCTATGTATATTGATAGGGTAGTTCACGGACTCTTCAGGATGTTCTATATGGCACGAGACTATTTCTGTTGCATTATCAACATTTTCCAAGGAGCAAAACAATTTGTGGAATCCTTTTGTAGGAAAGAAATATGTGGTTTCAGTGAGTTGGCGAACGGATGTGGGGAAATGTGCTTTGTTCTGCATGAGTCTGTGATTTCTTTTGTCGTCATCTTCGGGCCGAGGGGAACGGAAAAGAGGGAGATCATCAGCATGGAGATAATAAGTGATCTGTTCAACATTTCCTGTTGAAGTGTCTTTGACCAAAACAGTGTAGTTTCTTGTCCTTAGAATGGTTGTTGATTCTGCCTCAATTGTTTTTGGTCCTTTTGACACCTTGAATAGAAAAAGAGATTCAGTATTAGTCGTTAAACTTTGACTTTAACTCACAGTAAGAAGTCAAAATGAATCCATAGTCACTTGTAATAACTTTATGGTTTGAAATACTTGTTGACACTATAGGGGTACTGATAGGCTATTAGATAATTATCTTACTTTAAAATGTCACGTCTCAAGTACAGCATCTAAAACAGGAGTTATCCATGGATTAAGGTCTGTCTTGAGTCATAGCCAAGCGAGCTTGTAGAAAAACACCTTTTATGCGTTTAGGGGCACCCAAAAGTGTTACTCATATAATTTTACAAAAACAATACTTTCTCCATATAGACAGGCTACTATGTGGAGGGAGAGAAAGTAAAAATGTCCAGCTACTGATAACTCTAATGCAGTTTATTTTGAATTTCGGTATTTCTGTACAATCCAAGGTATCTAAAGCTTCTAGCATTTTTTTCCATTTTATATAGGCAATTGACAATTTTTTACATTTTTTAAGAGAACAATGAATAAAACTATCCAAAAAGAGTATTTAAAGTTACCAGAATATTATTTTACCAGATATTAATGGAGAAAACAGCATAATAGGGAGGTAAGAAATATGTAGGCCTATAATGATTATGATGTAGTAGCACATGCGAAAGCAAGGAGAATAAGGTGGGCAGGACACACACTACGGAGAGCGAATGGGATTCACTATTAAAGGAAGCAAGCCTAGGAAAGCCAGAAGAGAAATGACCATTAGGAAGACCCAAGAAGAGATTGTGGGATAGTGAGAAGATGTCAATGATGTCAGAGAAGTGGGGACAGCCATGGAAGAGGCAGAAGATAGAGAGAGATGGAGAGCAGTTGTTGGTGCGGCCAAATCCCGCCTTGGGCATTAATGACCATGGGAGTGAGTGAGTGAGAGTTATATTACTTTCCAGGCCTCATAACTTTTTTTAGTTACTCAATCTAGTCATATGGTATAATTTGTTCAAATGTTGTGCTCATAAAAGTTACAGAGTTCAATTTTAGTGTGAAGCGAATGGAAGAAAGAATGTGTCAGTTTGCTGAAACTGTTAATTAGCTCTAGAAAATTCTTATGATAACTCACCAAAGGGTGGAAGTCAGATGCATGTCTGGTGCAGATGAGACCACAAGCTTCTAGTCGGGCCTCCAGCTCTACGCTGTCATTGCTACTCTGCGTGCGCAGAATGGACGGCAGCGCCATGCACGGATGTGGTTCAGCTAACGTCAAGCTCAACATACCTTGACAAATGCTGCTCGTTAATTGATATTAATTCTTGCAATAGACACCCTCTTAAGCAATCCTGGTTCAACTGCCTCAGCCTTGATAGAGGTTCCTTTATCCATCCTGAATTTTTTAACTATCTAATTAAACACGGTGTAGTTGAATGAGCCCCTGACTGAATGTGATACAATAAAATTATTTTCTTCTTCTTAAGTGTTTCTTACTGTGATTGTTGATGTGACAAAGATTACATAGTTTACAGTAAGTAGACCTAAGAAACTTGGTTAAAACTACAACAGAAATCAGAAATTGCTTATTTGTAGCTTCATTTAACCTTGCATTTGTTCATCCACATAGACTAAAACCTGTGAGTGAGACATATCCAGCAAAGCAAGGGTGAGCTGGTACACGGGAGTGAAGTGTACTGGTAAAAAGTAGAGGTAGGTACCAGGATCTGAACTCACAACATTGCTGCCTTGGGCCATAGTCCATGGCGCTACCGACTGAGTAAATGACTCACATATGTCATCATCAGCACCATCAGTGGCTCAATCCCATTGAATTTGTGGGTGTGTGCACAAAATCCCTTAGTCTTCCTTCAGGGATTCTTGAGTTTTAGGACAGACTATAGTGGAAAGCCAAGTTCTATACTTGGTCAAAGCATCTCAAACATTTGGCAAGGGAAATATGGGTAGTATTGGTAAGATTAAAAGTTACAGCACTGCTTGACCCAACCAAGTACATCAGCTGTTGTGACTGCCTCACCTTCAGCGTTGGAAGGACAAGACACAGCCAACACGGATCTGTCTGGGTAGGTAAAGATGATACGACCGACCGGTACCAGCAGCAAGAACAGCGATGTCGCCCCTCCCAGCGCATTGAACAGCGACAAAATGTACTGAAACATATCAGTTACTATAGCCAGAGTCTATTGCCGACCAGCTCTTTAACCTAAATTACAAAAGTTCTAATTTATGTTTAGATGTTTTTATACATTCAAAAATGATAAGTGTGCAATTTCATGGTGCGACTTATCCACCACCGGCGCCGCATCACGTTTCGCAGTCGTTCTTTAATTAATGTTTAAATTTTTCTTGCGTGCTTTTGTGTGTGTAAATGTCTACATGTTTTTTGTAAAACCATGACGAACTCAACACCGAGGGATGTTTTATAAAGAAGCTAGCGTTCAACAAACCTGAATATGTGCCAATAATAGGCATGAAATGGCTGTAGTTTCATAAAACTACCGAGGATCGGAGACAAAAGCCAGGTAATATAAACCTTATTAGTGATAAGTGTGCAAATAGAATATTTCCTAATAATAACGATAATGTACAAAGAGAATGTTCATGTTTCTGTAGATGAAACTAGGTTAATGAATGAGAAATATATTCACAGTCAATGTACTAGAAAAGGAATTACTTGGACTGAAGGGACGTATAACCTTGTAAGCTTAGCCTATGTTAGTTAACCAAAACCCTTAAAAAAATATAAAATCCAAAATATAGATGTATAATAGGGACAAATCGTAGAGCCACGAGAATTGAAATGATGGACAAACCTACAATAAAATAAACCACAAGTAACTCTTTTGTTATGTGTGTAGAACTCAAAAACCAAATAAAAAGATTTAAACGTTTTTGTTAGGTTACAATGACATATTGTATACTTTAACAAATTGTGAGAAAGCTGCTAGCAAAACTTCTAATGCATATGCAATTAAGCATTTAAACAATATTCAACTAAGCAAATTATCATTCAGGTACAAATGCCCTTTGTGTCCATTTTCCATACTGCGACATCAGAAACAAATACAATAGAAGTAAAATATTACAATATTACGAATTATAACTTTAATGACACTATAGTTGCATGCTCCTAGAATTCAGTTCCATTATCACAAGAAGATGATACTTTTAAAATTCTCCTAAATTAATAAAAATTGTAAACTTTTAGAAAAGTTTTAACAAGGAGTCAAGTCTGAAACAGCAATTTTAATTTTATTTCTCTGAAAAACTGTTATTTAGGTCATACTCCTGACAAAATGTGCCATTTCATGACAAGAACAGTTTATTTCCACTTAATCATTCTTTTCCCGTTATCGCAGAATAAGAACACAAAAGCCTCAAAATTCTCACACTCTCCGGGGTCAGTTCCAAACAATTATGTAAGGACATTGCAGCGAGAACTGACCAAGGGAAATGAACTTGGCTAGTGAGCCGTGGAAAAGGTAATTGGTTTGCTTCGACGGCCATCATCCATTCAGCGACTTCCTCTTGTCTCCACAGTGGCTCAGCTTAAGTAACCAGAGTATACAAACTGTACTAGACAACTCACTTTGCTTTCTCTCTTTTACGTGTTAACGAAGTTAAACAATCATTACTGTGCATTGAACCATTTCAAAGTTTATCTGAAATTATTTCGGTTAATGATGATCAAACATTCAAACAACACCAGATGGAGATCCATATGATCAAGCAGTTTATAATGATAAACTGATAAAAAGTTTATTGTCCAACCAAAAATGAATGAAGTTATTTTATGAACAACATAAACCCCTATAAACCATTCTAAATTTTAATACAACTCATATAAATGAATTTTAGGAATTTTTACTGATTTGATTTTCATTACCATTGGTGAAAATAAGAAAATACAATTGAAAAAGAAATTTCAAAAAAATTACATTATGCTGAGACCTTAAGAGTTGGCAGGAGTCAATCATTTTGCATTGTTGTTGAATGTCAGATTCCAGGCTAAACAGTGGTTGTCCGAGCGCCAATCAGCAAAAACATGCGTTCACGTTGAAGGATATTAATCATGCACCGTAAGCTTGATTACCAAGCAGAAAATTTTATGTGATTCTTAAATATATTTTCCGTGTGAATTGCTTTTCGGATTTCTAAAACTTTTGTTTTAGAGGTTGAAAAAATCACAGTTTAAGTCGCTCAATATATTAATGTAGTTTGACAAAATCTATAATATTAAAACGAAAAAGGGTTTTTTTATTTCACGATTCTGAATCAACCACTCGACGGATTTTCATGATTTTTGTGTTGAAAGAAAGATAATTTTGAGAACTAGGGAATGTCGAAGCCATAATTTTAGTTTAGGGTCCCAGTTATTTAGAAATTAAGTTTTAATTTTTGAAAAGTCTAGCAGCCGACGCTAAGATTCTAAACTAGCTTTTGGTGTAGTAAATTTGTTTAACATAACAGCTGTAAACATTCAGCGTTTGTAACACATATTCAGCATTTGGATAAAATTAAAAGACATACTAAGGGTTGACTTATTTATACTACGTGTAATGCTAATCATTGATACGTTCAATTCTTCGATAAGAGGATGACAGATTATTTAAATATACTAGGATGTTCAAAGGATTTTTTAAATAAATCTTTGCAATATTCGGTTTGTTTTAGCTCAACATAATTTTCTGTTAACTAACAGCTGGTTAAATATAAAAATGCTCTGTATAACTATGAGGTTATTTTATTTACTCTGATTCGTCATTGATTTTTAGGATATAAGTAAGATTAGTAGACCACCGAGAAAAGTAACACCATCGATGTATACAAGTCGAGGCTCTGTACACGAGTCTTAAAACAAGGATATGCAAATTATTATACTGCTCAACTTTTTTAGGAAAGGGTAGGAAAATCCATTTTTTACACGTTTTAATTCATCTTGGTTTGTTTACAATCAATGTTTTTGAATGATTAAACTTTGTTTGGATTAGGCCCGGAAATATTGATGTCATAAAGAAGGAGATCAAAAATCCTCAGGAATACAATTTTAAATTACCACCACAACCCAGACGGGGTTAATCCAAAGATAGGCTATACAGATATGAATGACATAGATTGAGCACAACGTCATCATTGACCTAGGATTCTGCAATTAGACTAACCATCCTTTTATGAAATCTAAAAAGTTGTTTGGCGTGTGTTTAGTTGTGGTTACGTTTGGAGGCGCTGAATATTTTATAGTTTAAATAAATGAATACGGGGAATTACCGTGTACATTGATTCAATGTGGGTGGTTTAATTATTAAGTATATTAGAACTGATAACGAAATGGATAATAGACAATTTATTACGTCACTAGCTTTACTACCGTGTTTTACGTTTTAAATTCCTTCAACATGTGACCAGTTCTTTTGATCAAATGAATATTAATATTTTATTTTTGACTCAGCTGTTTACCAAAACAAACTATATGTTGTTGTTTTTACTTTTCTTTGTTTATTTAGCAATTGATATAAAGGATATGTGTGGACGATTCGTCCACACAGGACACCAACGTTATAATTATGTGTACTGTGAATTTTGTTGGATGTTTTCGTTTTATTTTAGGGAGTTTCTATTCAGACCTACTGGAAATTGTGCATAGTATGAGTAATTGTATTGTGGTGATATTGATTATGGAAGAGGCAGGTATGCGATGGAATTGGAAGGTGATATCGTTGACTAGGCCTTATACACTTTCTCAATTGATAATTACTCTTTCTACTGTAGGCTGCTATAAAATTTTTCGATATACGTGTTAGCTAGCTGTTCTGATTTATACACACTTTTAACTGACTACTCCCGTACGTAGGACGGGCTAACACCTCGTAATAATAAAAATTAAAAAGTAGAAAGCAAATCACATCTGCGGTTTCAATAGCTTTAAAATGAGATATTTTGTGACTTTTTATCTTAATAAACAATGCCGTAATATGCTTTGACCATTAACATTGCCATTATGGACAGAAAATCCAAGATGGCCAACTCTTAATCAATTGAAGAACTAGCCATCATATCTGTTAAAAAAAATTCAATTTCAAAATTTTTACGTGAAAGTAAAAAAAAAACAACTAATTAATTATATTATGTTTTAAGAATAAAATACAATTTTTATAATTACTTGCATTTAATTCTCATATGTTTTTTGCATGTCCCTGTACATAGATTACTTAGACATTGACATCAGGGAAGATTGTAATTTGATAACAGTGTCTATTGTTTCAAGGTGGACACGGAGGTCCACTAATGTTTCTCTTCCGATGGACCTGGACCTTGATGCACGGTTATGTTTCAAACTAAACTATTATTGCTGACATTCAGATTGGAGTTAGTAATAATTTAGAATAATTTGACTCTGTACTAAAATAAGCTGTAAGAAATAATTTATATACGTCACAAAGCAGTTTATAACTTTACTGAACAGCCCACAATCGTTGACTTTGGGATATGGTATTGAAGTAGACATTCTATATAGACCAGATGTAGCAAATTTTTCATTCAAATATAATACAGTGGACTCACAGTGTGTGTTACGGTCAAAATTACATATTATCTTGGGATTTTTTATATTAATTTTTGTCAGTGGTAGAACGCAACATTTTGCTCAAATCCTGCCACTTAACAATGGCTTTGGAAATGCAGAGTCCCTCTAGACCTAACCTGAAATAATGTGTTTAACGGTTCCGGTCTAAAACCTAGTGTGTGAAAGTGGAGGAAATTGTCCAATTATACTTTATATTTCAGTTTTTTTTTCATACTAAAGTATAGTTGATGTAACTCAAAAAGATGTTAAAGTAAGAATCAGTTTGGCAGAAATGAGTAATTGATAATTGCACACTTATTTGAAAAAAAAACAAAAATTTTATGAACCCTCCACAGAATGTGCTACAGTATAAAATTTTATATTTTCCTTTATACAGTTTTTTCACTGTTATATCTGTTGGTTGACATCAAATATTGTTGATAGTAAAATGTACTTTAAGTTTTACTTGGTTGAAAAAGTTGGCGTATTTGACAGAAATTAGTAATTTAAATCAACATACTCTGCCGACTCAATGTTTGATTTCAGCATGAGATGGGATGTATACTACATGAAGGGTTACAGTTCCGGCCAGCATTATACACTTGTCACCTCACCTTAAAGTTGCCGATGCGGTCGGCGACCACCCCGGCTATAGGAGGCATGATGATGGCTACAATAGGTGTCACAGCTGACATGATGGCCGCCTCCTCTACGTTGATGCCGAGCTCTCGCATGTGGATAGTGAGATAGGGGTAGAGAACGTATAGAGCTGCAACAACATACAATGTATTATTGTAAGATGTATTATTATATATTGTTTACGTTAACACTCTGGAAGAGCTGTCTCCAAACTATGGGTCTCGCAAGCAATTTTGATGGGTCGTGGGATGAGATCAAACATGAAAACCCTGTTCCAAATTTTGTCTGAATCCACCACTGTGTCATTCCTACAAGGCAGTCTTCCTTTTGCGGAACATAATACTGGATGAGAAATATAAAACATTAGTAGCATGTTGAATATTGATACATTCAAGCATTGAAATAGGTTGTTATTTTCGTCATTGATGACAAGCCTTCCTTAATGCTGCTTTGATATTATATGATATTATAATTATATTTCCATTAACCTAGCAGTATTGCCAATAATTGCAGAACGGAAAACTAACTTTAGTCCAAACATTAAGTAGAAAACGTATACGATTTTTAAATAGTAAAACAAACAAACACATTTCTTCATGCCAAATAGGTCAAAAGAGCCGCGACCTCTAATTGGCGGTTCCAACAAAAGTATGTAAATGCAGTAAATACCATCCTTCATCACAGGATGTCTTCTATTGTGGCAATAACTGTGGAGGAGGACAACAGTGTTCTGACACAAACCATTTCACTGACTGCTGATTGAATAAAATATTCCTTCAAATAACAGGCATGACTGCCAAACCACTTAAACTTTGTATGAGTGTCTGTGATATGAAATGCAATATGCCCCCAAACTGAAATGACGTGAATTTAAACATTTACTCAGGTTGAAAGGTTTTAGACAGCTCCAATACGTTAAAAATAAATCTATGTGAGTTATATGCATAGTTTGTAATTTATGACCTTCATTCAGGGTTAAAAAAGTAAAATGAACAGGATGTTTTTAATAGTCTGTTCATAAATACTGCCATCTGTCAATTTCTAGTACTCATACTCAAAACAATGCACTTTTGCTTCCCAATTTCTACAGTAGTATTGCAATTAACTTCATGCTCTTAACAATGTGCAATTATGTGGAAATTACAGCCATAACGATTCTTAAGTGTCACTTCATTTTACTATACCTGGTCACGACTCAGGAGTATATATTAGGCTATCTCTGTATGCTTACTTTTTACAATAATGTATAATAGACGCTAACATATACATGTGTGTCCAAATTACTTGAGTTTTAGGAATAAATTATTTTTATTTGAAGCTACAATCCTTGACCATGATTCTAGATACCGGTAGACATCTCATTCTCATGTTAAATTTGTAACCAGTTTTTCATTGGAAATGGATGAAATTGAATTGATGGCTGGTGTAAATTAATAATTTAAATTGAATAAACTGTTTAACCAAGCCAAACTGAAATGACTATCTTATTGTAAACCACGGCATCTTTTATGCCACATCAACTGTCACAGTAACCATACTTAAGTGTGCAAATACAATTTTAGACTGCGTAACTCATTCTGTGAGTGGCTCATTCAACACTGAGTTCCTAAAATAACACACACAAAAAATAATGTGTCTACAGGTAGTTCATATATACATGGGATGTCCAGTCGTCCACTTCACTGTAAAACGTCAATGGTTGAATTTAATTTTTTTCAAAAACTTATACCACCAACAACAAGACGATGCGCATGTATCAGAGGTTATACGCTACAGTTTTACAACTGAAAAAAGAAATATCTACAACTCTACCGTATATTAGTAATGAAAAAATAAATATGTGCTACAACCATATGTTATCATTATAAGAGAGACAGAAGTCATCATGAAATGTAGGTAGGAAGTCTTTGATAGCAATGGCTGATGTAAACTCAATCATTCCTCCTCTACAAGCAACAGAGGTATAATTTATGCCATACTCTATAATTTTAAACTCTCTCGTCTTGTTAAAATGACATCAAGCAAGTCTCAATCTTAGGAACGTTAACCATTAACCACAATCCCTCAATGGTATCCAAGGAGAAAATCCAACCGGTTACATTATGTTTAACCAGTATTAGTTTTGTTATTCTTAGGTTGTCGGCTACTCATCACTAAAATAAATTAATCAGAATTTACTAAAAAATGTCGAGGTATATTTAAAGTTTACATCAAAACTCATCTTCAGCCTCTAGTAACAACATATCAAGTACATAAACTATGATTTATAATGTTTGTTTATAAATTAATTAAAATATGTTTGAATTATTTTAAAATTAAGTTAGTAGGAAAAAAATGTGTATATGTATATATTATGTAGATGTCACAGTTAATTTATTATTGTTTTTCCAATTTTAATTTTGTTCTCAACCTCTTCTCGAATTAAAGGTATAAACATAGGGCTGATTGTAGCACTAGGTTGGGATATGCTTCTTTTATCAACCGCCATGCAAGCAGCTTCTTTAAGATTTCTTAGTTTCCAGTCTGCTTCCTGGTAGATCATAGTTGATTCAGACCAATGTATTCTATGTTCTTCAGAGAAAACATGTTCACTTAGTTTGGAATAACTCTCCAAATGATTACTAATGCTCTTCTGGTGTTCTTTTAGTCTCTTCTCCATAGGTCGTGATGTTTGCCCGTAATAACTTCTTCCACATTCACAGGGTATAAACATAAACTATATTTTTTGTGTCTTGATCTTTGTTCTTGGGCTTCACTCTGGTCAGAAAACTTCTCAATGTAGGTCCAGAAGAGAATACTGTTCTTATATTAAACTTTTTGTTCAATCTTCTTATTTTTTCAGACTTACCCTTGACATACGGTATAGATATGGTACAATTAGGTCTTTCTTCATTTCTACTTAAGTTATTTCTATTTAACAGATTTTGTTTTGTTTTATTTAAGGCCCTAATTATCAAATCTAAGGGATAATTATTTCTTTAAAATTCTTCTTTGATTATTTCTATCTCCTTATTCCTTGCTTCTTCGTCTGATGATACTTTAAATGCTCTGTCAGCCCTATGTTTATACCTTTAATTCGAGAAGAGGTTGAGAAGAAAATTAAAATTGGAAAAACAATAATAAATTAACTGTGACATCTACATAATATATACATATAAAAATTTTTTCCTACTAACTTAATTTTAAAATAATTCAAACATATGTTAATTAATTTATAAACACACATTATAAATCATAGTTTATTTACTTGATATGTTGTTACTAGAGGCTGAAGATGAGTTTTGATGTAGACTTGAAATATACCTCGACATTTTTTAGTAAATTGTGATTAATTTATTTTAGTGATGAGTAGCCGACAACCTAAGAATAACATTAATAATGCCATCACGAAGGAAAAAACATACCGGAATGAACCAGTATTAGTTTATACAGTCTCGGAACTAGCTTCAAATATCTGGTACCCTCCTCTATGTGTTTATCTACAATGTAGCTAAGAACAACTTAATGGGAAAATCTAAAAACTTACAAGCTTATTGAGAAATATAAAATCTATTTAAATAAAGCCTCGCCTTATGGGCGTGCTTTGAGTTGTAGGAAGTAAACAAATATTGATTGACCTCCTTGGAAACAAAAAAAAAACCCTTAATGTCTTCATTTTAATGTTTACATTTTCATCATCGGGACCAATTTTACTTTCCACCACATCAAGTGTATATTTAACCAATGACCGTTTTGCTGGAGAAAGATAATAATTTGTAGGCTACCTATATGAAGTCCTACCAGTTCTAAGATTCATCTATCCAAATGTAATATTAATTTGAAACGTTTTCGTTTTCCAAATATCCTACAACCTACATGTCTGAACGTTTTTATACTATCAACAGGTTCTTAGCTATACTTATTTATACTGCTTAACTGGTTTATAATAATTATTAATAATGTTATTCATAGGTCATGGATAAATCTTGGGGATAATATTATGAATGAAGAATGTGTGAAGTTTGTATCCCTCCGCGAGACAGTAGTTTCGATAAAGGCCGCTAGAGCCCGTCAGAATCATAGCACTTTTCGCCGTGCAAGGTTTTACGCAGTTTCATTTTGCACATATAAAAAATAAGTTTTTTTTTCAAAATCAAAAGAGACTTAATATTTTTAGTTTAATTTTGCACTATTATTGCTTTATTAAAAATTAAAAATGGATAATTTCATAAATAAATACTAATATTCAACTGTAAAGTTCTTTAACTTTGACAAGTCGTTGCCCCTGATTGCGTAAGCATAGAAATTTTTTAAAAAGCAAACTTAGCAGAACCACTCTTTATATTCAAAATGGTGTGTGGGTCAAAATTTAAATGTTTAAACTGGAAACGCATATGATACAATTGATACCGCGCAAAGCGGTTTTCTGATGATTTTCGACGGGCTTAGGGAACCCTCTTAAACTTTATCACAATTTCACTGAGGAGGGTATGTCCGATCTGTTTAAATTGGGGGCTTGGTGAAAAACTCGTTTGACATTATTTGTGCTTATCAATCAAATGTGCATAAGGAATTAATATGAACTTTTGAGAAAACTGTACGACTGACAACCATAGAACCATCAACTGTATATTTGAATGAATGCGCCGTCATGGGAAATTCCTGGCCAAAATATTAATTTTTACATAAACCCTACTGTAACAATTGTATGTACAGTATTTATAGTTTTTACCTAACCCGCCATGTTAAACTTCCCTATCCCAAGCGTGATGTATATAACTTCGTTACTTCTCGAGTGATGTAAAGTTGAAAAAAACTCACTCGGTGATGTAATGAAACCCATTTAAATAACATTGAGCGCTTAACTTAAAAAATATACCTCTATGGAGCCAACGACGTTCAACGCTAGAAATCAGCTGTGCGCTTGAATTTTATTGTTATGTTTTGAAGAATTTTCCTAACCTAGCTGTTGTTTGTAAATGAACGTTACTGTTAGAAGATGAGTGAAATGGATAATGAAAAATATTGTTCGTAACCTCCTGTATATTGTCGGGTCAGGTAAAATCTTGTACGTTACACGTTACGCAAGAGCGTGTTTACATCACTTCGGTAAATTATGCAACTCGCTCCCGCTCGTTGCACAACATTCACCTGCGTGATGTAAAAACGCTCTTACTACACTTGTAATGTAAATAGCTATTTTTTAGCCCCTAGGAAGTAAAAGTCAGCTGTTAGTATTGTCAACGCAGTTGTAATTATTAAATTTTGGTTGTAAACCATTGCATTTATTGAAAGTATGTATCGATTGTTTAATTGATTGTAGTTAATTGTTTTCTTATTGTATATAGTTAGACATATTGATAGTATAATGTACACTAGCACAATCCTAAACAAAACGATTGAATCACTTAGTAAATAGCTGGTTTGCAACCAATGTAAATGTGGTTTGCACATTTGCAAATTAAATTTAAATCAAGTTAGTTTTGAGAGGTTATCTTTAAATGAAAACAATTTTAGTTTCGTAACATAGTTTGTTCAAGGTGGAATATGACGAAAAATATAGTTTATCACACGAACAAAAGTGTTTTTTCAACTCTCGCTCATTTTGTGACGTCAGCTTCGCCACGTAAAACTTGACCACAAGTCAAAAACAGTCACTTTAGGCCCTGTAGTGATGAAATATACTATTTTTAAATCTATGGTGGGTGCTTGCGAAGGTTTTAACACATTATTCTCTTCTGCATCTTCACCCAGTTGTGATATGGGTAAAGCAACTAGTCTGGGATAAGGAAGATAGATAAGAAAGGAGACTTGACAGAGCCGACTTATCACTTAATATCATCAGATAGGTATTTGCAGATGTCAAGGATATCATGTTTTTATTCAATGTTATGTGCGTGCAAAACTACTTTCATTTTCTCCCACACGATTTCTCATTAGATTGACATGATTTCTCATTAGATTGACATCAATGCATTGTCCGAAGAGTTTCTTAAATATATGATTTTTTTGCTTTATCATTGTGTAATCCTCCTATGTATAATAGGCTAGCATGTTTCTTGAAATCCTTTTTTCTCAGCTCGTGTGCATCGCAGGGAAAATCTATGCATACTGTTAGAAAGATATTTTCCTTTAAATGAGCAGAATCCCTTTATAAACTCAAAAATAAACACAAAAAAAAAGAATTTAAAATAAAAAAGCATGGGCCTTATAGGCGTAATGCTGTTGATGAAATAAACAAGCAATATAAACAGAAAATAAAAAAAGTTAAGAAATTCCAATCACGTGTTTTATTTACAGAGTGGGGTGAAATTAAATTGATAATTGAATTAGAGTATTCAATAGGCCTTATTGTAACCTTATTATAACCAATTTTATAGCAATAAAAAGTTACAAGGCTTAACAACAGATTGGAGTGCAGCAATTTCCCGTTGCGAAGCACGGGGACAGCAGCAGCTAATATAAATTGAAGTACTTTGATGTATTATGAGATACTTTAAATTTTTTGTTCATGTAATTGACTGTTTTAATTACTAATAAATATGCAATAATAGTTAATTATACTTCTAAATACAATAGAATAACAAACTCTTACATAAGATTTCCATTAGTTGCACCGATACTATTTTGTTGATGGGTGTAAGTAGTTGTCTTTGATTTCAAAGTGACTAGCCTATTCAAATTGTAATAAAATATGACTATTTGTGATATTTAAAATATTCATGTGTTCAGCATTTCTTGAATAGAAGCAAAGATCTGTTTGTTGATTTCTTATACATTTTGTTAATAATACCTGCTTACTACACTTGTCAATTATAAGAGAAAAAAAAACTTTCAAATTGGCCACTCGGAGGATGAAATCAAATAAATACAAATATTGCTTTATTAGTTACCTCTGTAAAACTAATATCTGTGACTAAAAAATTTGCATCCGAATATAATATAGTAATACAAACTGGAAAATAAGGTTAATGTATTATCATAGTTAGACATGACACACTTCCTTAGTAGATTTCCCGCCCTTATCGAACAGTTGAAGCCAATTTTATTGTTAGTTCTGTACATTGCACTGTAGAAGTTGTCTTTTGTTATATATTTGTTTCTTATAGTTATTTCAGCCATTTAAAACCTCATTTAACCAAATAATACGATCTAATAATAAACAATAATTGGTCTCCTAGTTATATAACCAAACAGTAAAGGAACAAATCATGAAAACAACCCTTAAAATAATAGAAACAAAATTTCTTCTACACTAGCGATCAGTGTTGACCTACATGAACTAGACAAAGATTTGAGACCAGTAATCAATCACACGTCTAAATACAAGTATGTTTTATCTATGATACAATGCTCTCCTAAATTTAAGTCAAATACTGTATACAGTATGCATTTAAACGGGTCCGTTTTAACGAGTTTTTGGGGATGTCAGTTTAACCGGAAAACCCATTATCCGGACTGGTCTCGGTCCCGTGGAGTCCGGTTTGTAAACAGCATAAAAAAGGTTTAATGAGAATTGTTGCAATGCTGCAAAATTTTTATACATTAATTTATAAAGGATTACTTTTATTTTATAAAAATGTTACAAATTTCTTTCTGGCCGTGTTTGTGTAGTCTATTCAAGCAGAATAGGAGAGTTTTTATAACGTGATTAAATCAAACAAGGGATATTTTAAACTATTACTTTAGATAAACAATATATTTAGTTCTCTGCAAAGGTAGGTAAGGTCTGTATATACACTTTTGTATTAGTTGTCTATTCACTATAGCCTGTCACATAAAATCTGGTTCAAGGTGATGCTGATGAGTTTAAACAAGTGTACATACATGGCTTCTGTTGCGTTCACTTTCAAGATTTTATAAGAGGCTACACACTGTTACACACCTTACCCATGGCAGTGCTTCAGGGTGATTTGGTACTTTAAACTACTGCATAATACTGGGTTAATAAAAAGTCTAGAGACCCCCTATTAACTTTTTATTGGGTTAAACCAGGAAAACAAAACTCTGCACACCTCTATACAGCGTAAAAGTGTGTTTTTTGCTGGTATACCAATTTTGTCAGAAAACTCAAAATGGGTTATTTTTGGGGCAGCTAATTTTTTTTACTGTTAAGCCCTATCAAGTGACCCCTCAAAGGCCATTAGATTAAAAGAGTATTGGTGAAAATTAGAGGTCCCTATCTCAACTCAATACATAATGGCGGCAGTTTTTAGTTTCCATAAACCAGAGATCCCACTTAAAAATATACATTAATATTCCCTTTTTATAGAATTGTACCAGGAAAGCTTATCACTCCATAAGAAAAACCGTGTACTTTTTAGTTGGTATCACAATTCCCCCCTGGGGAACCAAAACGGAGCATATATTGGGACAGCTCAAAAATGTTAAATGTAATCCCTGAAAACTAAAAACTGCCGCCATTTTTTACTGGGTTGAGATAGGGACCTCTGGTTCTCACCAATAAATGAGGTGTCACTTGATGGGGTTTGTATTTAAAAGTGTTGAGCTGCTCAAAAATACCCCATTTTGGGCTCCTGGGCAAAAATGGCATACCTACCAAAAAGTAGTTTTAGTTTCTTTTTACGGTAATACTGAGTTTAGTTTTCCTGGTAAAACCCATAACATTTAAAATTGTTGAGCTCCCACCAATATAAACCATTTTGGGGTTTGGGACGAAATTGGTATACCAACAAAATGTTTGCAGAGTTTAGTTTTCCTGGTGTAACCCATTAACAAGTTAAAAGGGAATCACCAGAATGTTTTAACCCTGTATAAAGTAAAGTTTTGAATTGGTTTTTAAGCAAAAAAAAAATAATTTGGAGAAGTAGACCTACTACAGTAGAACCTTTATCTCTCATGGGGATTATCAAATAAAACTTGGTTTCAAAGTTTCAAAATCAAGGTTTCATTTCTTATCGAGGTTTGCAATAGCATGTGATGTAATGACAGGTAAAGGCAATTTTAAAATGACACTTGTTATCAAGGGTCACTTTTTATCGAGGGCCTTGTTATCGAGGTTCCACTATATTTTAAATACGTATTGAAGTGAGAGGGATTTTTATTGTTATTTTATTCGAGTTTAACTAAAACCTGGATTTTTAATTTTTTTTAGGGACTGAGGTTTAGAATCATTAATTGATAGCCAAATGACAAAGGACATCTCCATCTGGGTCCAGAAGGGATCTCAATTAAAATTTAACTAGCGACCTTCAAATTTGCAAAAGAGCACATTTAACCATTCCGGTGCCTAGTTCAAGTCGTACAACAACTTGTATTAAAATGGTTTAGCTACTTTAAAAATTTTTAAATATTGGATAAAAAAAATCAAATGATTTGAGACTAAATCAAATGATATATTATTACTAAATACATTTTAAGAAAGGGCATTATATAATATTAGGTTATAAGAAGAATGACGAAGCACCTGTGCATTTATCTATAACCTCTGTACGTTTATGTGCTAATAAAAATGATTTGATTTGATGATGATTTGATGATTTGATTTGAGACCAAATTCAAATTGCATTATTGCGTTATTATATTCCATTTTCTCCATAGATAAATCTCTTAACACATCATCCAAAAAGACTTTATTTTGATTGTTTGTAAATTTATTGATTTGAACATTCATATTTCTAGTAAAATATTTCAATGGATTAGATTTCGGTTAAATATATCATTTTGGAGATAATGATATCACTGTTTAGGATATGTGCCAGGGGTTATTTGATATATCTAACATTCTTACGTATTAATTTAATTATGTACTTATGTATTTTGGAGGTTCAAGCCTGTAATTGTTGTAATTGTCAGTCTACTTGACTTAATTTTTTAAAATTCCCAACTATTCTTAGTAAATGTTTAGTTATACTGTAGTGGGACAATACAGTCTACTGTGGGTTTTTATTTTACAATACTTAGAAAACATACACGTTATTTTTATATAGATTAGGTAATAGTTTGTAATAAGAAGCAGAACTGCGGAGTATCTATTGACATTTAAAAATAAACATAAGAATAATCCATTTGGGAGAAAATTTAATTTAAGAAGTAACACTTACTTGACGCATGGACAAAGAAGAGAAGCTTGAGAGGTAGAAGTTCTTTTTGTTTGAAGTCCGAGGATATACGGCTACAAAATGTGTTGAGATAGAACATGTTGTTGTTGCTTTGTTACTGTTGTTGTTTGAAGCGTAATGTCAGTCCTGGGTCAGATCAGATTGTTGCTCAAGGTTCAACTTCCATATTCTGAAACAGAAAAATAATAATGAAATTAAAAAATGGTTCTAGTCGTTGTAGCTACGTATGATGCAAGTGGTTGATTCAGATAAAACCACAGTAAGCAGTAAGTATAGCAATGTTAGGGGTGGTTTGCGTAAAAGGTAGCAGTTATAAATTGTAACAGAGATTAACTAAAAAAATATATTCACCATTTAGAATATTTTGGAGGAAAATAAAATATACAGTCTTAATTTCATAAAAATGCAAAAATCTTGCAATTAAGTACCGAACAAATATAAAAATCACATACTCCATTATTATTTTGTTGAAACTTAAACTCAGTTTCCAATTTTGGAATTTTGTTTCATACAGATAACTTATCTATAAGTATAAAAGAGGATGTTTGTATATATATATATATATATATTTGGCAGTGATAAACTCAGACACCGCTGAAACGATTGCCACGAAACTTGGTACATACGTGTAGAATTTCATGGAATAGGTTTATACACCATCAATATCGTGATCCGTCCAATCGGCTCCGCCCCAGTGGCTCTGGAGTTTCCCATGTTAACCTTATGAGAAATCGAATTAATGAATCTTAACAGCTGTTTCAATTAAACAAGTTGGTTCTGTTCTATGATGTTCAATAGCATTAAGTTACAAGGATTACCAACAGGGTGCAGGACTATTATTTCTTTTACAATAATTATGACAACAGCTAATTTGCAACCAAAATGTGAGTGAGCGTAACGAACGAACTTCAACCTGGAGGCGAGTTAGCGTAGTGAACGAGCTAACCTGAAGGCAAGTGAGCGTAGCGAACGAGCTAACCTGAAGGCAAGTGAGCGTAGCGAACGAACTTCAACCAGGACGTGATTGAGCCATGCGAACGAGATCATCTTGAAAATTAAGAAGTTAAACGTGGCAAAGCCCGCGGGTTACAGCTAGTTACTTAGTAAAAATGTGTTATTCATAACAAATTATCGCCTGGGAAAAATTTAATAATAGATTTTTTTAGTTAAATTGAGCTTTTCCTAGCCCAAAAATTGTAAAATTCACCTTTAACTTGTCCGCTTTACTATTAATTGTGCCTTGAGAAATAGTAAGAAGGCACAATTAATCGTTTCATAAAGAATTAGACAAACGAGACTTTGCCGGATAAAAAACTAATTCTCAATAAGTAAACCAATTTAAAAAATACATATTACAAATTATCGTTATTATTACCAATCTCATTTCAGACAGGGACGTTTTAACCCAAATATGAGTGAAGAATGGTGTAAGATGACTTTGTTTTGTGGTTAAGATCAGTTGTTTCGTTAGTCAGACTATAAAAGCCCAATGATCAAGGACAGCTGGCAGTTTTAAATAACTGTCATACTTTTCTCAGGATCGAACCTTCGACCTGCGACATTACTTACCAAACGAGCACTACCACTGAACTTCCCTGCTGTTTAAGTCTTTGAGATAGATAGCAAAGCAAGGAAAACCTTTACAATGCAAGTGTCAATTTTGTTTTAAAACGATTCCCAATAAATTGTTTTTCAGAGCAACGATATTTCAAAAAGATTTATTACGTGTTGGCAGTTTTGTGGCTCGCAGCTACAAGCAAACTCATAACAGTTTTATGAGTAAACATTAACAAATGTAATTATCTTATCTGGAGCCTATAAAAACCACGAGGGGGTATTCACGAGATCGTTAAGATGAAGGAAACCGAGTACTTAAAATATATTAGTTTGAAGAAAATATGACAACAATTACTATAACTATAAATCATCTGATTTCATACAAAAGATGTATTTGTATTTGGTACACATTAACATGGGATCTTACAAATTCAAACTACATGACGTTTGGGAGTGTTTTTTTCGTAACCATACAATACTATTTAGTAAAAATGGACCGTAGGTAATTTGAAAACAAAAAATTGGTCGCAATAAAGAAAACTAGATTTCACAATAAACAATAGAAAAATGACAGCCAAATGTAATTTACAATCTAGTCCCCTGTCAAATGTACATATACAGGCTCCCGTGTGCTCCTTGATGAGGCAGGTGTGGGAGTAGTCTTAATCTCTTCGTTTGACCTTGGAGAAATACAATTTCGATGGTGGCACTCTTGAAAATTGTGCGTTTGAACGCCGAATGGTAAAAAACAAAATGGCCGCCATCGCAAACTTGTTTTCTTACTTATATCAGTAACCGTTAGGGTTACAAAAGAATTGTTGATACCAAAATGTAGCTATTTTAAATCTGCACAAAAAATATGATTACAGTTTTTATGTAGGATCAACCATTATTTCATAAAACATAATTTTATATTTTTCATAAATAAAATTAATCAGGGTGGATGTAATGTCCCAGGACAGTTAAATATTTCAAAAAGTAATAAAGGGTGTTTCAGTAAAGCGTTGTGGACTGTGCAGATTCAGATTCTATGTGCAAAAATAAGTCAAAAATGTTGTATAAATTTGTTTTGATTTCGGCTTAGTTTAGCCGTAATCCGCCATTTTGAATTTTTTGAAAATAACTCATAACTCAATAGCCCTTGAAGATATTTTTATGAAACTTTAAGTCTAAAACTATTAACATTCTCCGAAAAAATCTTTGATTAGGCTCATCGAATTTCAAAATGGCGGCCATTAAAAGTTTTTAAAGTCAAATTTCATGAAAACCAGCAATTAAAACAAAACTTTGAAACACAATATGTAAAGTCCTTTTTATTACAAATCGAACGACACTTTATTTGCGAAAATCGGATAATAAATAAAAAAGTTTTGTAACTTTTATAATGTTTTTGTCACTAGTTTCTATGGAATTTAACTTTGTGGTGTTAAAATGACTGCCATTTTGATAATTAGCATTAATAACAAAAGTTACATAACTTTTTTATTTATTATCCGATTTTCGCAAATAAAGTGTCATTCGATTTGGAATAAAAAGGACTTTAAATAATGTGTTGCAAAACTTTATTTTAATAGCTGGTTTTCATGGAATTTGACTTTAAACATTTTAAATGGCGGCCATTTTGTTTTTTACCCACAGCGTTCAAACGCACAATTTTCAAGAGTGCCACCATCGAAATTGTATTTCTCAAAGGTCAAACGAAGAGATTAAGACTACTCCCACACCTGCCTCATCAAGGAGCACACGGGTGTACATTTGACAGTGGACTAATCCCTCAATCTTATACTTAGGCGATCCAGAAAGTAAAGAACGTTTCGTTATGACGCCGCTAGGCGCGCGCCGATCTCGTACATTTTGGTATGTGCGATGTGCGTACTCGGCAACTCAGTCCGCTCCGCAGTCGGCAGTCGGCATCCAGCCGTGACAATTGGAGCATTCTAGCGCTGCCCGTTTTTTCACAATTTCAACTTAAGAGGGTTCCCTACCCCCATTGAAAAACGTCAGAAAACCGCTTCGCGCGGTATCATATAGCGATTCTAGTTTTGACATTTAAATTGTGAACCAAACACCATTTTGTACATAAAGAGTGGTTCTACTAAGTTTGCTTTTTAAAAAATGTCTATGCTTACGCAATCAAGGGCAACGACTTGTCAAAGTTAGTGAACTTTACACTAACTTTGACAAGTCGTTGCCCTTGATTGCGTAAGCATAGACATTTTTTAAAAAGCAAACTTAGTAGAACCACTCTTTATGTACAAAATGGTGTTGGGTTCACAATTTAAATGTCAAAACTAGAATCGCTATATGATACCGCGCGAAGCGGTTTTCTGACGTTTTTCAATGGGGGTAGGGAACCCTCTTAAGATGAGCGCTGCAATAAAAAATCCCGCCAGTTAAGGGGTGCGGTCAGTGATACGGTTTTTGTTGGAAAACACTTAAAACCGAAACTTTTCCTCAATTTTCACGGACTTTGTTGTTTAAAATTGTCACGCAACAAAGCGAAAGACCCGTTATCGGGAATCGGCGGTTTTTGCTAACCTTTTCATCAACTTTAGTGACCAGTTCCATCAGTCACAATGCTCGGCGTCCGCCCTTTGCTTCATCATGACTCATGAGCGTCAGATCGGCCATTTTTAATCTGAATGCACCATTTTCTCAGAACTTTCAATCGTTACGTGTTTTTCCTTGAACTTCATACCCTTGGCGATAAATGTCTATCGATTTTAAGTTTAATGCCAACACAAACCGTATCACTGACCGCACCCCTTAACTAGCGGGATTTTTTATTGCAGCGCTCATCTTAAGTTTAAATTGTGAAAAAACGGGCAGCGCTAGAATGCTCCAACTGTCACGGCTGGATGCCGACTGGACTGAGTTGCCGAGTACGCACCATCGATGTATATAACTCTACATCGGGAGTTATTATACATCGATGGTACGCACATACCAAAATGTACGAGATCGGCGCGCGCCTAGCGGCGTCATAACGAAACGTTCTTTACTTTCTGGATAACCCGTAAGTTGATTTTTTGTTCTGGTGTACCGGAAAAGATACGGTATATACAGGGTGTTTCCAAATAGTCTGGACATATTTTGTTTACTTGTTCCTTGGGTTAAGACAAACATAAAATGCCATATAAGTATGGGTCTGAAATGCTTAGATTTCTATTTGTCGGTCTGTTTGTGATTTTTAAGAATTACTTTATATCTTGGGCATTTTTCAAGATGTAAATTCCAAAATTGGTATATATGTGTATTTTAGTAGGTAAAAAGAGATTACATAGTTTCGTTCCAATATCTTAAGCCATTTCAATATGGCGGCCATTTCAAATATTTAATGTCAAATTTCATGAAAACCGTGAATATTAAGAAAATTGTTCGTCGAATCAAAGATATATAATTTAAGTCCAAATCAAATGAGACCTTGTTTGTTGAAATTGGATGACAAACAACCGAGTTATCAGTTTTTCTTCTACATTCAGTTACGCAATTTAATAGGACTGCCATTTTAAACAAATAAACAATATGGAAGTCCTAGTACATCGCGTAACCGAATGTAGAAAAACACTTATAACTCGGTTGTTTGTCATCCGATTTTAACAAACAAGGTCT